ATGGTGATTGTGCCACAACGAACTGCAGTAATTCTTGTGGGGTTAAAGCCCATAGATTTGGATGAACGATTTGGTCATTGGGATGGGCGTGATACAGCTTACCTGGTTGGGATAATGATCCATTGGTTGGGAACCTTTATCAACCAACCTCTATCAACCTGGTATCTTAAATTACCAGATGGCTGGGTGTACGTCACCCAGGAGTTTCGAAATCGAATGGACGGAGGTGAGTTGCCATGAATATTCTAGTATATTCTAGTGGTATGTGTTTGATGAGATGTATACAGATCAAATCAACAAAAGAAATGATGGATTCATGGAGATTACTGGCACGATTTACAGTAGGATTCGTGATGTAAGCAATAAATAGACATAGCGGGACATAGCCAGGACAAAAAGAATGTACAAGCCATGACTAGGGGATGCGAATCCCATTGCTCCCATGATAGCAGTAGCACGCTCAATGGTCCTGAAATTTGATTGTTTATTGTAGGCGGGTATCAATACGTGGTGTATTACGGTTCATGAACTATTGAACTAAGTGGGAGACCTATATCTATGCAATAGGGTCGAACTATTTTGTGGCTAAATCGTGCCAAATCAAGTTTAGGGTCCTTGATGCCGTTGGCCGCAAGACCATTTTACAATATGTTACATATTCTATGGAAGTAAAGAATGTAAATACATATCCTTTTCAATTGAATTATTACTAAACATGAGATATCCCATCATTAACCATTAACCATTGAATTTACCATTATTAACATTTATTAACCATTCTTAAGGCATTATGGTTGAACCTGTTGGATGTTGCGACGATGTCCCCACAGCATTTAAGCAACGGTGAGTAGTGAGCCTCGCCTGAGGTAAAACGAGGGTTCCATAGTCATGGGGATCCCCAATGGGGATAAATGGGGTGCCTGGATTATTTGGGAAACCTCTATTTTTACAGATGATTTACCTATGAGAGAATTTTGGGGGTTTTGCATAGTTATGTTAGATTACCAGAGGGTAATGCGAGATAGTTTTCCCATTATCAATGTGAATCAGGTAAATTGAAGGGATATCAAAACATATCAAAACCTCCAAGAGACAGCCACTACGATGACAACGTTTTTTGGTCACTGCTCTTTCGGCGTTGTGGCTTCCGCTTCCGAGAAGCGTGTGCAAGGATAGTGATGGCAGGACGCTTGCGAATTTGTCATGGCACCAAACGGTCAAGACGAATATAAATGGTAAACCCAAGGCCCCTTGTTGGGGCATGTTGATGAGATGGGAAGCCCCTTGTTCGGGCATGTTGTTACTAGCCCCGGAATGGTACCCTTTGATAATCAAACATGGCAATGAAGAAACCCTGTAAATGGAGGTTTTAATGGGAAAATTTTCGAACGTCATCGACCTAAATGTTCCCGCAAGCCATGTTTGATTGCCGGAGGGTAACTTGGATATATGCTTTCCTGTTGGCTTTCCCATGTTGGTTTCTGTTCTGTTTCTGTTGTGACCCCTGGCCACAGACGTGAAATGTTGGTTCTCATTCAAGGGATCCCAAAAAATCTCCCGGGATCACTGTGAGCAAGGCGCATCACAGTACCGAACCAATTGGTCATATGAGAATCACTGAGAACCACCATTGGCTCGACTTTGACCAATGATTATCTAGAGGCGCCTAAAAAACGGTCGTGGCCAGTATCCGTGACCACGGCATTTCACAGATAGCCGCAATGGCCAAGCCATTGCCTGACAACTCCGTGCTGATTCGATGGGATGCGAATGCCGCGTTGGCCGTTCGCAGATGCTCCGTTGGTATGATACTTTAATGTACTTTATGGACCTATGGATCTCTATGGGTGCTTAATTGTAATGTTTTGACTACCAGCACTGAAGAGATCCCGAAAAAATCGAAGACATCATCCAAATGATACTTCACATCAAGCAGGGAATGAGCATCCACTTCGAGCACGGCTCAATAGACCGCAGAACTGTGGTTTGACCATCTTTGGGTTGCACTGAGTTCTTCTCCAATCCTCACCTTGGCTTGGGAGACAGTCTTGGTCTCGGTGCACACGGAAGATTTGATCCTGGTAAAGCTTGGTAAATGGTGGTAGACTGGTAGACTTTCTGGATTTAGCCACTCAGGGGGAAGTAGTCGCCGCCCAAAAAAATCGTCTTTCCAAGGGTGTAGCTTAGCTAAGGTTGTCACTGTTTGGGTCATGTGCACCCTAGGGACTATAGATGCTTGTGTGGCTGAATTTCGTATCGAATAGTCCTAGCCATTTGGCATCAAGGACACCACAAAGAGGGAAGTCCCCTTGCCAGTTGGCATCAGTTGGCTGTGGCTGCTCGCAAGATGCTGCAAGATATCATGATCAGTAACATGTAAAGCCCTAGTTGCTTAGTATGATGGGTGCCATGTCCAACAACCCCATCCCCCATCACATATACATACAAATATATACATACATATATCATATACATATATATATATGTACATATATACTATACATATATACACATATACTTATATGCATATATACATATATACATGTATACATATTCACATATATGTAGATATATATACATATATACGTATTTACATATATACGTATTTACATATATGCGTATTTACATATATATACGTACATACGTATCTACAGACAAATATACAACTATACAAATATACATATATACATATATACATATATACATGTATACATGTATACATGCATACATGTATACATATATACATATATACATATACATATATACATATGTACATATATACATATATACATATATACATATCTACATATCTACATATGTACATATATACATATATACATATATACATATATACATGTATACATGTATACATATATACATATACATGTACATATATATATATGTATTTGTATATTCAGACAGATATACATGTACATACGTATTTACTGTATGTATTTATATACAACTATATATACATTACATATGTATATATATATATATACACATTTGTATACATACATATACATATACATATACATATACATATACATACATATACATATACATATATATAATATATATATATTCATATAGGTATACACATATACATATATACATATACACAAAAAATGCTATATATATATATACATAAATGTGTGTGTGTGTTTTATTTATTTATACCCGAATTGAAATATATGAAATAGAGGAAACACCTTCATTTTATGGTCCCGGTCATGGTGTCATCATGCTTCATCACACCATGGGCCGATGGGATTACACGCTGCAGCGCCTGGAAACCGCGGTTTCACGAGTCCAGACTTTCAGGTGATCTGATGGCAGGGTCAGCCCTGAGAAACCCTGGGGCAAAAAATGGGACTGAATGATGATTAATGGTGGTTTAATGATGATTTAAATGTGGTGTATATAATGGGACTTAACGGGACTGAATGTGGATTTAATGGCAGGGAAATCCAAAAAAAATATGGAGGTTTAGTTCGGTGGCAAAATCAACTGTAAATGGTGAAAATTCCGGCAAACATGTTACCGATGAGCCGATCCCCCCAGCGGTTACGATGCAGGGTATCCAAGATTTGTTAAAGGCGCCTTATCATTGGTGGGAAGGAGTTAGATTGGAATGTCTTCGGGGGATTGGGGTACAAGCATGTTGAGCTGCATGTGCTTCTCTTCAGTGGATAGGTTGATAAATTCTCACACATGGATGATCTGGGATTCTTGCTGGTTATTTTCCTGGTCATGTTGGGTCAATTCCTCACATACAAAAAGGATTGTATCCTGGTTGAATGTTGCGAGGCGCAACTATCACAGAACTTGAAAGCACTGCTGCATAGTTTCTTTCCCCTGTTGTTTGTCCAACTGTCCAGAAAGAATCTATGTGGAGTTGCCTGGAAATGGGTCAGTCCACCCGCGGGTGATCATCAACGATCATCCTTTTCCCCCAGCAAGATTGTAGTCTTGGATACTTGGTGGCTCCCACTTCGTAAGTGGGTTATATCCCAAGTTAGTGGATCAATCCTACCTATCCCCCTGAATCAACTGGGAAAAAAGCCACCTACCAAGTGGGACAAATGATCAAAAACCTGGGTTCCCACAGAGGGACCCCTGGGCTCAGACGATCAGCTGCATGCAGCTCCGGTAGTAGACCTTCCGGAACGCAAAAAAAGGATGGCTGGGGGGGGGGTTCCAATCCATGGGGGTACCCCCATAGCTGGATGGTTTATTTCATGGAAAAACCGCTTGAAAATGGATGACTTAGAGGTAGCCCCATGACTTAGGAAACCTTCATATGTTCTAAGAATGATGACATTAATGGGATGTTGATCCCTTTCCGCCCTATATAACATTGAACACCCCTAATAAACCATGGTTTACTAGGGGATTTACACATAGTCGGGACCATGAAATGGATGCGTTTAGGGATATATTATGTAACCAACCAAATACGGGAATTTGAGAGGATAAATCATACCCAACGATATATGTACCCACACATCTATTCCAGAAATCACCCAACTGGATGTAGTGAGCTTCCTGAAGAAAAGATCTTAGGAAATCCCGTGGGTTTGAGAGCCTGAAGATAATTTGAAGCGGTCCCGTGGGTTTGAGAGCCTGAAATGACAAATTCTAGTGGGAACCGCTTCAAATTATCTTCAGGACCATCGCGAGCTTGCCTTTGTCCGAAACCTTCCACCCCATGGTTTCAAGATATGATTGTACCTGCTCAAAATTGCCAAAAATATCCATAAACTGTGGTGTAGTCCATTTCAGGACGAAGTAAACTCGCCACCTGGGTCTTGCTACCGCGACCTTCAAGCAATACCTCAGTTGAAACTGGCTTCACAGATCAGGGATGAGCATGTGTCAGCAGCAAAAGGATGCCCGTGAAATACAGAGAGAAAAATACCGCACGGCTGTAGGGTTGGCATTTGCCACGGCGCCTGATTTCTTTTTTTGATCCCAAGGGCTTCCAAGGGTTCCCAGTGGTTGCAGCCAAGCTTGACAGCCATGGAGTCTATCCACGCAGTGGAGTCGCTGCAGAATGAAATGGTGCCTGGTGCAATTGGATCTCTTGTGACCTTCGGGGGTGAATAAAATGTAATAAAATCACGGCCGGGGATGCCATTTACAGCAATAGTTTATCACTCTTGGGGGTAGCTCTCCTGACACATCAGGACTCCACATATGTTCGAAAAACATTGCAATATGTTTTAGCTTGTTTTAGTATATAGCACCAAGATCGATATAATGTGATATAATCACTATTGGTCATGCTTCCCCCCAACATTTCCATGGTGATCATCCGAGATCCGGATCAGGAAACCTGCTTCAAGCGCATCAATACCAAGCTGAATCAGCTTCGCCTCACGTTGCCGGACGTTCCGCCTGTGCAGCTGGAAGTCGGGGTGCAAGAGCCACCCAAGGCTGGCATGGCTCCAAAGAATGCAGAGCCTTGGAGAAGAAGGTGATGTCTGGATTTTCTGGGAGATGTTGGGGAAAACATGGGAACATGTGTCTCCATTTTGTCCAACTTTTACGGAACATATCTGGAAAAAATGATGGAAATAATGATGGTCCATGGAAGTTGGGGAGGCGTACCATATTTTCAGACAAACCCAGATGTCATCAGATGTCAGTAGTTTTTTTCTCTCAATGTGACAATAAGGATACCAGTTTGAAAGACACCAGTTTGGGTTCAGTCAACTTTCCTATTTGTTGGGTAGATGTGTCGCTAGAAGTCCAGTTGCTGTGGCACCGACATACGGACAGCTCAGGCATGGTAAATGTAAAACAAGCAGTGTTTAGCTAGTTGACCAGTCGAGTTTGAGGTGAATCAGATTTCAAAGCTGAACATGAATCCCAATTTCAAATGGGCCAGATGTCCACATGTTGGATTTCTTTGCCCTTCACCGTGAAAATTTCACGATGGTCCACCATCGTAAGGGCCGCCATCGAAAAGGGCTAGAATTGGTGGGAAAACCATTCAGGAAACCCCCCATTTTGTCCCAAGACATCTCGTAGCCATGGAGCCATGGTTTCCTGTAGATTTTCCAAGGCCGATGGGATCGAAGAGGAGCCAGCCGCACTGCATGTGCACAAGTTGCTTTCAGTCACTCGGCGCTTTCGCGGTGGAACTTTTGGGATATTTCACCAACAATTTGGGGGACGGTATGGGGATGTAGAACCAAACATGAACCAACCATATGGACTTCAGCAAGATGGAGCCCTCAATCTGAGTAGATTCGCTGGTTTATGATAGAATAAATCTAAATATAGTTGATTATAGTTTCATAATGTTATGTGTGTATGTATATATATATGATATTATATGGGTTTATAACCGGGCAGTACCACCTTGTACGATTAGCAACCTACTTCCTGGTCCACCCGAATTGGGAAGAATATTATAACCAGTACAAGTCGGCTAACCCTACTTGCCCCACTTCTAGCCAGGTATACAGACACCTATAGGGCTCCCCAGCAGGTAGATGTGATAGACCAACCTGTCAATAAAGGCTTGGATTTTGGATCCTGTGAAGAGGATTTCAGTGCCACAAAGCATAGCAACATAGCATCCCAAAAAAAAGACAAACAAAAAGCAATGTGTATATATATATACTAGTACGACTAATTTATGGAGAGGAGAGAGATGTAACAAATTTAGTATCATGTTGCTTCCCTATCTTTTTGGTGCTTGCTATAGTAGATCAGTCAACAGATTACCCCTTTGCAGCTTCCCGGGGTCGGACTTTGGCGGAGGACAGCACTCCGAAGTTCAAATCCTACGCTTCTTTCCGTTTCTGAGTTGCAGCGCTTGGGAAATCCTACCGGGAAATCCCGTAATGGACACTGAAACGGGGAAGAACATCAAACTCAATGGGGAATTGTCCATTACCATGTTTTATTGCCAGATGGCAGCTGAGCAGCTGGCATTATGACCCGTATGACCCTTATTGCCTGGAAAATCGAGGCTTTTCCAGCATGGCTAGATGCCACCTAAGCGAACTTTGTGTCAGTTTGCACTGTGCCCCATTGAAATGCCATATTAATATATTAGATCCAGTGAAAAGATGAAGTGGGATTGGCTTAACAATTCGATCTTCTTTAAGGTGATTCCATATGCAAAATGATCGCTTCTGTGGGTCCAATTTGGTATGTCTTATATAATCTGGATAGTACTCCAACTCATGGCCGTAAAAATATCTGGAGCATTACTATTCTGGAATGATGGTTAGTAAAGGCAATTATCCAATATTACCTGATTTCAGGTCAGTGAATTATTACAATTTACCCAGATAATTATTGTGTAAATCCTTAAAATGTGGGATTGCACAATTCTAAGCCAATCCCAACTCGTTCTTCGCAGACGTGGGAAGATGTCAAAAATGCAGAGGGGCAGCAGTTTTCGGCGGTTTCTAGATCTATACTCTTTACTATACCAACCACACCACCTATTTTGAGGGTCCTAACTTTGACCAATACTTGGTGGTGCCCGCTAGGTATAAGTTAGTTTATAACCTCATCTTAGAGTAGATGTAATCACCATAAACCCTAGTGCATATAGTGAAGTACCCCTTTTTTCGCTCACAGACATCAGCTATGAATCTCACTTTGAATGGCCATGTCTTGTTGATATCCCCATCCTGGTAGGGTTTTTTACAACCCATTCGTCGGTTGCCGTTGCCCAGGCATCATGAACAGCAACGGGGAGGATCCCACCGTGCATCGGCTCCATGGACGATGGATGCAACTCTCCACCCAGTGTTCCTTCTACACCGCCTCGATGGGGGAGCTCCATAGGACTCCCAGCGGCCGTTCATCAGGGGTTTTCATGGGTTAATCATGGGTTAAGGATGGTTCATGGGTGGTTCATGGATGGTAAATTGCATTTTCCGAGTTAGTCAGCAAAGAACCACGTCCCACTCGGTAAGTGGTGAACATGAACCGTTCACAAGCCATGTAACAAGGGATGGTCCAGTACTATAGTACTGGCATGTACTGGCCCTATTTGGTATGGTCACTAGCCACTTTTCCGACTGGGATGCAGCCCCAAGTGGAAGTGGTGATGGACGATGTATGTTTGCGTGAAGTTTACTGTGGTAAACCATCGAAAACCCAGTAATTAATAAACCATCCCCAATAACTTACCAAAGACAGCTGGGATCGAAACCATTTTTACATGTATATTTATCATAATTTAAGAAAGCACACACACAATCATGATTTTCCCATTTGTTGGTGGTCATTTTAGGCGGCCTCATCGATTTTCAGACGCCCTCATAGCAGGGTGAACCAGGATGATTCCATCAAGAATGAAACACTCTGATTTGGGGTGATCGCACAATGAACTGATCCAAATATTTAACTAGGGCTTCTGGGGTGATGTCATTCTTATCATGCGGAAGGCTGGGAAGGATTCTCGGGCTTCTACCACGACGATCGTCGTGGGTATGGCTCAAAATGAATCGTCCTGCAGCCCGTTTTGTTTTGACTCATCTCAATGCATTTCCCATGTTTGCTGTTAAAACCCATGCTGATTCAATGCATCCCCAATGGCTTCACTCCTAGTCCTATCCATATCTCAGTGAAAGGGGCACCAATGGACCCGGAAAATCTTGCATTTGTAGTACACCGTCCAATGTTATCCAATTTTGAGGCAGTGTTTTAATATAATGTTGTCTGACCAATAGTGATATCTTGTCAATAGTAGAAACATTTTTCCGCAACTCCAATTTTTCTCCAATACTAAAAGTCAATTAGCTCTATTTACTTTTAGTATTGCCAAAAGAGTCATGTTCAGACCTTGTCCAGAGGGCATGGCCAATAGTGGACCCAACATGGCAATAGTGGAAACTTTTTTCCCAACTCCAATTTTTTCTCCAATACTAAAAGTCAATTAGCTCCATTTACTTTTAGTATTGCCAAAAGAGTCAAGTAAAGCAAATCCTTTTCAAAGCAGCCTTCACTTTTGATTAGCAAAAGCTTAGATTCCAGAAATCTGATCCAATTACCAAACAGCTGATTTCCTTATAAAACCCTTATTAAAAAAAGCAAGAAAACAGGTCCACAAAGGGTACCCCCTTTGCAAGCCCCAGAATAGCAATAACAAACCTGCACCAGGCATGGCAATAGTGGAAACTTTTTTCCGCAACTCCAATTTTGTTGTCCTCCTTCTCCTTCTCCTTCTTCTCCTTCTTCTCCTCCTCCTCCTCCTCGTCCTCCTCCTTCGCCTCCACCACCTTTGCCCCCACTTCCATGTCCACTTCCGCCTTGCCAACTCTTCGCCAATCTCTCAGAAACCCAACCAAATCCATTCAGAATCTATCAGAAACCCAACAAAACCATGGAGAATCTATCAGATACATATCATGATCCCAGCTATAGATTCCCACAAATTATTATAGGAAGGTTGACCCCCCCCCCCTAAAATATGTTTCAAAAAAATAAAATTTAGGGGGGGCGTGTAATTACTATTAGGCAGCCAACATTATGTACAATATATATGTATACATGTGCGTGTGCGTGTGTCCATCCATTATATATAAGAATCTATTTTTCCAATATTTACACAAACGTCCATGTTTCATCTGCATTTTGTTACCCTCCATGAGGCAGTTTCGGATTTCTTTTCATTGCGCACTGACTTAGGAGCAGCCCTGTCGGGGGTGATCACTTCTTCCATGATGTTGAATATCATTCATATACCATATCAACCATCATATCAACCATCAATGGATTGATTTCAGGGAAAAATTACAGTAAAGCCCCATGTCATGGGAAAATCGATGCTTTCCGGTGAAATCACACAGGAAGACATACAACTTGCCGCCCACCGTGAACCTGGCCTCGGAGCGTGGCTTCTCTGGGCTGCTGGAAGCCTCCACCAAGAGGCCGACTGGAGACAGCAAAAACCGTTTCGGCTTCGCGGCTTCGGGCGCTGTGAAACACAAAAGAAGAGGATTTAATGGTGGGTTAATGGGAGTTAATGGGAGTTAATGGTGGGTTAATGGGATTTGATAGGACTTAATGGTCATTTGATAGTGATTTAATGTTGCTTAATGGGATTGAATTTAATGGTGATTTAATTAATGGGATTTTATGGTGATTAATGGGATCTAATTGGATTCAGTGGGGATTCATGATCACATAAACCAACAAGAATACAAGGTGCCCCCCCCAGATAGCTAAGTTGACCTAGTTCGCTTGCTCAATGTTTGGGTTTTATGGAGGATATAACTTAGCTATAGTAAATGGTGTTTAGAACCCAGACATGTTGGTTGTCCCAAATTGGCTTGTCGGAAAATGGTGTATACCCATCCAACGGCCATCAAATTTGGGGGTGCCCTAGTTTCAGACACCCGAAGTGTGGAACCAGCCGATGTTTGGGGTCATATGTGTTTTCCCCGGGTTAGAATGTTGGATGATTTTCAGAAATCCAACGGGGGTGATAAATCATGATACATCACATCCACTTCCACCTTTTAACCAATCCGATCGCTTAGGAATTGAGCAGTATGCCCTTAGTCCAGCTGATTCTTTTGATGGGATGGCAAAATTGGTGTGCCCATGTTTGTCCAACAATGGGGGGTACCCAACAATTGCAATTGGAATGGTCGAAATGATGATCAAACAGGTACCTTCTGTTGAAGGCAACCAAAATCAGTGGTATCAAACTGTGCACAAAACAGGTGCCCTGGCCCATGGTTCGCAAAATTGGTTACAAGGCCAGCATCAAGATGTTTAAGTCTAAGTCATTTGCTAATTTGCTACTGTTCTAATGTGTTCTAGGCAGCCATGAATTTCTTTGTGCAGCTCATCGTGGGAGGCCGCTACATCCAGAAGGCTACTTTCGAATCTGTTGGGACTCTCGTTTGATGGGGTTCATGGGCCCTGGTGGGCCCACTGTGCTATCCCCCAAAAAGAAGTGCAACAGACAGCGGTGACGGGGCTGGAGCAGAAATCACTTCGCCGAGGCTCAAATGATGATGATGATGATGATGATGAGTGTAAATTACTCTCAGAAAATGGGTGGTTTTCCTACCAAACCATAGATGTTTGCTAGTTTCTTGGTGAAGACCCCCATATTCGATGCCTAAACTCCACCTATCATAAAAGGATATTGGTTTCAATAAGGACCTGGGATCACCCAAGCCTTAAAATTTATATTGAGAGGGGGAGGCGGGGATTTCTTCATACATTTCTACCCCCTCTCCATCTGAAACGACATTTATTGTATGAACGTTTTCCTGTAAGATTATAAGGTTACCTGAAGTGGGGGATCCTTCCAGTACATTTGAAATATGTGGCTTCAAAAGCTTATTTGAAAATTGGGGAGGGGGTTTGATACATTGATTTTGCAAGGCCATAGGTTTCTAACAAAACATGGAGCTTACCAAATAGCACGACACTTTTGAGGCCACCATGACCTGGGGTATTTCTCAATAGCGACTCACAAGGACCTGAGCAAGTCATGGCAGGTCTATTTCTTACAAAAAGGCGAATGGTAAAATAATTTGCTCAGAATCCTCCGGAGCATTTGGGGGGACGGTATACTAAATTGATCGAAACGGTTTATTTCTGCGGGAATTCAACAAACAAATTGGATCAGAATGATCCAAAAATGAGCCACATTTTATCCGCTGACTGTAGGACTTGTGCAGTTTGGTTCTGCTGTTGATCGACGCCATTTTCCTCCCCTTGTCCATTGCCTGGGACTGGAGCTGGGGCTTCAGCAGCCTCAGCGGAGCCATCTTATCCGGATCCATCTACGTGACCTGGATGACAAGGCGTCCAGCACGTCTTGGTTTTCCATTGGTTTTTTTTTCCATATGTGATATACATGCATTTAGCTTTCGGAATATACATGTATAATATTGTTTAATAATATACATACATAGACATTGTACATGTATCTACGTATACAATATTATACAGTATATTTGCGATGTACATACAAATATATACAATATATGTATATGTACGTATATTCAATATATTTATATGTTACATAATGTTACATATTTGTATAATAGTATACAATATGATATGCATATTTATTGTCAAGATATTTATATTCAAGATATTTATATTCAATATATTTATATTCAATATATGTATATTCAATATATTTATTTTCAATATATTGATATTCAATACATTTATTTCAATTTATTTATGTTCAATATATTCACATTCAATATATCTGTCTATATACAATATATTTATTTACAATATATTTACATGCCAAATAATTATATACCACACACATATATATATATGGGCCCAGTCCCCGGATCGCCACCCCCAATGGTATGGCCCCCCAACTCCACCCCCGTCAACCTTCCATTTGTACGGCCAAAAACGCGTACCTCATGGCTTACCACTCATTGGATGCCTTTCTGCTACATATTTGCTAGCTATAGATTATATACTCAAAGCGTATCTATGCATAAATAGATCATCCTATATTTATATACTCTATGCCTCTTAGCATTCTCCCTATAAACTGAACATCAACCACTTAGAGCTGTACAAACACTGCCTATGTAGGCCTGGTTGTTGGGACCCCCCCCGGGCCACAAGGGGGGGGGAACCATCTGGCTGGGGGTGGGGAGGAGTGTGGTGATCCATGCATATGCAAATGCATGTGTGTGTATATATATATACACAATAAATATTTATAATTATAATAATAATATTTATATATTTATAATATATGTATATATTTCTACATATATAAATATAAATATATATATATATATATATGTACAATATATTTATATACAAAATATTGGTGAAACATATCGCATTGCAGAAAATCTTACGAATATTCCCTTTATGCGGTGATTCTCTAAAATTTGAGCCTCACTGGGCCCTAGCCAGCCCAGCCTAGGTGGGCTTGGTGTTCTGGACCGTGGACATCGTGTTGAATTTCAACACCGCGGTCTATATCCAGGGTCAGCTGGTGACCAAGCGACGCAGGATTCTACGGCGCTACTTGAGTACATGGTTCGCCCTGGACATTAGCAGCTCCGGCGACAACACCGTCAGATGGTTGTTGTGTTTCCTGAATAATGTGGTCGATCCCCGAAAAAACCTGGAGCCTGAAAATGAGTTTCATTCCTTTGTGTGTGTGGTGTTTTTTTTTGGGATGTTCGATCGCCAAAAAAAAATTGAGTTTCATTTATGTATTGGTTGTTCCACCCCATTTTAAACACTCGGATTTCAGGATTTTTAATGGGCCCGAAATCTTCAAATTGCCTCTGGTGATCCCTGGGTTCCGCCAGGTATAGTGATTTTGGACTACTTGAATTTGGCGCAGGACAAATCGTTCCACTGCGGTTTTGACTGGGAGAAGTTTTGGGCCTCTTTTAGAACTCAATGAAATTCGAAGATCATGAATCTGGACAACTGTAATAGAATATATAGAATACGGATTTATATGTTTGGACTGTTTGGTGGGATTTAATTAGTTTATCATTCACTAGATGATATCAACCCCCGTGAGCCAATGGATAGCGACTGCCCAAGCAGAAGTTGGACATGTTGGTGAGGGCAGTACTAGTGCTGATATTTTGTCTACATCCACAGGAATCTCCAAAGCGATATAAAGATTACAAAGCGATAGATGATTCTTTCCAAGATGGTGAAGATTGTATTTTACATGTGTTCACTCTACAATTCCAGGTGTGCAACTGTTCTATTGGGGCTCGTTCTGCACTGTTTGGTTTGGATAAGCAACCTGAATGGCCTCAAGGACACTGTTTGTTAAGAATCCCATTAAATCCAAATACAGTAACACTCATTCGTTACCCTCTTGCAAACTAATATATATATATATATATTTATATATATATATAGATATAGATATGGAAACCCACCATGTGTAGATCATTTTCGTAGGGAAACCATGGATTTTCCACATATATATATATATATTATAGTTTACCCCAGGGTAAATCCCATTAAATCACTATTGAATATCACTATTGCCCTTGCTTGGATACCTTTGAATTATCATGTTTCATAGGTAAATCCCATTAAATCACCATTTGTCATAGCTAAATAAAAGCAAAAAAAACATATATGGTAAAACTCATAAAATCATAATGTTTCTTGCTTGAATCCCCCTTCCAGGACTACGAAAGCAACCTCTCGTTCCTCCGCTTCGGCCGCATCGTCCGCGCCTTTCGCATGCTGCGGCTTTTAAAGATGTCCAAGCTGGACTTTGGGCCTTGGGTTCGTGACGCAACGGGTGCTTCCAACGAGCCAAAAAGGGTTGGGGTTGCACCAAGACTGGTGGGAAATGTGAAGCTGAAGCTTGTGAATGGATGGCAAGAAAAGCCGGCTAAGATGGGGATGCAACTATTACACTAAATGTGGGATTCAACTCATTAGTTAAGCAATACCGACTGGGCAAACTCGACTCGACTGATGGTCGTTTCATGCGTTGATTTTTCCGCGTGGCGGTTAGATATTTTTTAGACCAAAAGAGCCCTGAACCCTTGAATTTGTAGTGGGGATCAAAACGGAGCCGTGATGTTGCCTGGACACAAAGTTACAGCTGTGTATCATAATGTATAGCAACTCCCCTAAAACAACAACATAGAACATAGTTGAAGACCTGGAAATGATGGCGAACATTATATAACATTATCAGAAAAGATCCTGGCAGCACATTATTCACCAATTTGGGAACCCCTACACATTTTTCCCCACCTGCCAGGTGAGGGTTGTTAGATTTTATGTCAGTTGCCTCCTCGTCCTCCTCCTCCTCCTGCTCCTCCTGCTCCTCCTCCTCCTCCTCCGCCTCCTCCTCCTCGTCCTCCGCCTCCTCGTCCTCGTCCTCCTTGTCGTCCTTGCTCAACTGCGACCCGCGATCCACAGTGTTCCCTGCCGGACCTCAACCACGACCATCCACGCCCAGTGTTCCCTGCCGGACCTCAACCACGGCCATCCACGCCCAGTGTTCCCTGCCGGACCTCAACCACGACCATCCCCGCCCAGTGTTCCCTGCCGGACCTCAACCACGACCATCCACGCCCAGTGTTCCCTGCCGGACCTCAACCGCGACCATCCGCGCCCAGTGTTCCCTGCCGGACCTCATGTAGGAAGATATGGGACAAAGAATGTGCAGAAGAAAGTTAGAAAGAATGTCAGAAAGAATGTCAGAAGATATGCCAGAAGATATGCCAGAAGATATGCCAGATAGAATGCCAGATAATATGCCAGAAGATATGCCAGATAGAATGTCAGAAGATTTGCCAGATAGAATGCCAGAAAATATGCCAGATAGAGTGCAGAAGATATGCCAGATATGCCAGAAGATATGCCAGATAGAATGTCAGAAGATTTGCCAGATAGAATGCCAGAAAATATGCCAGATAGAGTGCAAGAAGATATGCCAGAAGATATGCCAGATAGAATGTCAGAAGATTTGCCAGATAGAATGCCAGAAAATATGCCAGATAGAGTGCAAGAAGATATGCCAGAAGATATGCCAGATAGAATGTCAAATAGAATGTCAGAAGATATGTCAGATAGAATGCCAGAAGATTTGCCAGGAAGAAAATGTATAAATGTCATGGTGGGGATCACACGAAGTAAAGTAATTTTGTAGGTTTTTGTTTTGTGGAGCATTATGTTAGTTAGATGTCCTTTGTTTGGAGATCCCCGAATATTAGATGGCTCAGAAGTCCTAATTTTCGTGGTCGTTGTTGGTTCATAAGCACTGAATCAAGCCCAACATTCCTGGGGGGGATGATATCCATGCCTTGCAGGACGAAATCATTCAAGAGCTCGCAGCATCCACGGGAAGACAGTGGATCATGCTGGTGAGCTTGGCATGGAACACTGATGGGTTTTATTTGTTCGACCCCACCTCGAGGAACGTCTGACCTGGAGGTGTCCTAAAATGGTGGTACCCCAAGTCACCATGGGTTTCAAGTATAAAAATGGTTTGATGACTTGAAGGATTTGGGTAACCATGGCTACCCGTATTTAAAAAAAGAAAAAAAACACCTCACCTCGCAACTCCATGGTGAATGATGATTAGTTGTAGGGGAATTCAAACATGTCGCTAACATGTTTGATTTGGGAATGCAATTTGCCAGGCAGAGGAAGTCCTACAGAAAAGGCAGCATAGCCAAGCAATTTGGGGACATGCATGCCCCATTCTAGATGATCCAAGAATTTTACCACTACCTGAATGAAACTAAACATTATATCTCCATGTTTGGATTTCTTGTTGAAGGGCTGTGTCAACGCTCAGCGCCGATCCTCGAAACCAGTCGTTCAAGATTGGACATGACTGTGTTCCGTGCGAAAAATAATTTACTTCGAGTGATCCTCGCCCTGACATATTATTCTGACATTCTGGCATTCTATCTGACATATATTCTAATATTCTATTTGGCATTCTTTCTGACATTCTTTCCGGCATTCTTTCTGGCATGCTTTGTGGCATTCGGTCTGGCATTCTCTCCGGCATGTGTTCGGGTCCAGGCGTGGTCAGCTGCATTAGGAGCTGGCGATATGGTGTTTGGGTCCAGGAAGCAAGGGGCGAAGGAAGGAGTGAAGGAGTGGGAAGGAGTTGCACCTTTTTAAAATTCTAGAGACCCTTATTTGGCAGGTAGGGAAACATCTTTATTTGGTCATTTGAGCTATATTCCATGATATTCCATGTGAGTCTGAAAATTTGGTACTGTACCCCCAGAGTTGATGGTCAGTCGTCATGTTTCCATATTTGATCATATTTGTCCTATTAAAAAGGTGTGCATTTAGACATGTCTATCCTTGGAATGAGATCATGACCCCAACTTCCGAGCGATTGTTTGTGGATGGCTTGAAACCACCAAATAAGTTGCTCTAGGGCTGTTACTCGAGCGCACAACACTATCAACACTGCATCTGTCTCAGCTGATGTTTGCCTCTTGTTTTCCCATCATGATTGCCCCAGTGCTCGAAGATGAGGTGATTTCCATTTTCAATGCGGCTGTGGCAGCGATATGTGTTGCACACATTATCACCTGCCTCTGGTTCTGGATCGGTTCAACTGTCCAGGTGGGACCCAAATTGCTTTACCAAGATTTAAGAAATACTTTGAAGATGTCCCCATTGGTAGACCAGGTATGGCACCGGAAATGAGGGTGGCATCGATGGTGATGTTTGCCTTCGGTGCATACAATATGCATATACCTTGAGTTTTCCCTGGGCAAATAACCTACAAACATTGAATGTTCCATTGTTGCGTGAATTTACTTCATCTCTTTTTGCACCAAGAGGACGAACCTACATCGACCCTGCATACAGTACGTATCTACGCTTCACATTCCAAAAGTGTCCTCTGAAATTCAGCAATGGTAAACCAAGACGCAAAACTAGGGTAAGTAGGGCTTATGAGCTGTTCGCTCGTTGTTTGAAGGTTTATAAATACCGACGCAAACGGCCAATTTGCATCAAATCAGCGCTGAACTTCCCCTTTGACATGAAAGGTGTGACAAGCCAACTTTACATAACTTCACTGCATAATACTGCATATAAGATCATATAAGTATATAATACAAATCCCAGAATCTCTGAGGTTTCGGTTTCTGTTAAAGTCACTCGAAATCACAAAACGTGCGCAGGCCGAAGGTCGTGAGAGTTGGATTGACATCGCCCTGGCCCACGACCTGGACGGCGCCACGCAGTACATCACCTCCTTACGCTATGCCGCGGGGCCGGAGGGGCCGGAGGGCGGTGGGTAGGTGCCCAGCCATGGGCAGAAGATGAGTTCACCTTGGATGGGGGTTAAACGGTTAAACCAGCGGAAATTGGGATTTACCATGGTTTAACTCAACTTGGGGTTGTGGGGTTATATGGGTATCACCATGTAACCCCAGAAAATTGATAGGACTTCTACAATTATGGCCAAAAAAGACCACTTATGAAGTGAAACTGCACCTGCACCCCCAAGTAAAACACGGGTTAGAAATGCAACCCAGGACCCAGAAACGACCCGTTTGTTCCGCCTCACTTCAGGAATATGATACTTTGACAAGTCGTCGGCAGATTAAGCAGCGATTCCGGGATTCCCAAATGGTTGAAGGGGACGACGCCAAAAGAGGGAGAAGCTATCGGTTGGGGTAGTCCCCTCTTGTTGGACCCCAGTTGACACATGAGTCCTTCAAAATCACCTTGTTGATTGGTTATTGTAAGATTTGTAATGAGCTATATCACCTGGTGATTGGTGATTATTTGATGGTAGGACTCACCAGCCCCTCTGACACTAAGGTCATGAATGCACCTGCCCCGCCATTGATAGCACCAGATAGTGTGCGTGAACGTTTGGTGGACATTATGAACAACGTTTTCACATTGGCAGTGTGCCTTGGATTGCGGAAAAACGTGGAAAAGCTGGCTCAAGCGCGCTTGAGATCTACTGCAAGACTCGGGTTTTGAAAAAATACAATTTTGGCCCGGTTTTTGCCTCGCAGTCTCCATGAGCACCACTTGCAAATTGTTGCTGAACAGCCATTTGCATGGTTTTCCGCATTCAGATTATCCTGTCAAATTGCATGATTGCAGCAACAAAATCAATCCCAGGTTGATTCCAGGGATTACATCTCCATTATTGTTGCGCAAACCCTAAAAATTGACCCTGGTGCAATGCTCCATCATGTATCTATTTTGATGATTTTTGATGTTGCTGCCAGACTCGGAAAATCACCTATCTCTATATTTGTCTGTCCACGTCCCACGCTTGGTACTTAAAGCATGCTAAATCATCTAAATCCCCATTCCTGACTTTTATTCTGATCTTACAAAATCTTACAAAATCTTACAAAATTACTTCAGAATTTGCCGATGATGTTTTTTGCCATTTTATTATTCAATTACCAGGCGGCAAATTCCGAACATCACGTCCGTTGAATTCCCCCAAACCCACCAAAATTCTTAGAAATAGAACCCAAAAAAAGCACAAATCATCAAAAAACGAAGCCATTTCAGGTTGGTCATCATATTCCATTGATATCCCTATGATACACCATGATTTACCATATATATATATATATTTACACCATGGGATCTCCAATGGAATCTCCCCCTTCGCCCAGGATCGGCTCCGCGGTGTCGAAGATCTCGGGCACTTTAGTGGAGCTCCGCGCCATGAACGAGTCGCGTTCGCGACAGCGGAGGGAGATCCGCGTCTATCTCAGCAACCAGGACGGGACGGGCAGCTGATACCCTCGGGTAATTTAACATTTCACATAGCTATTGAAAATATCCCATTTATAAATCATTTTTAGATATGTATAGTTGATTTATAGTTGATTTACAGTTGATTTACCTAATTATTCAGCATGGTGATTTTCACTATGTGAGTTTACCAGAGGGTACCCGGTGAGCTCTGCAAATCCATGGTGAATATTGGGTGAATATTGGTGAATCCTGGAATTTTGATCCGAAGATCTCCGAATCATCCTGAAATCGTGAATTTCATGAAGTTTCTTTATCTCTCTTTGGTGTTTGGGGGGTGTCATGATGTTATGTTCACTTATTTACCGATTTCAACTGAAATGAAATAGACATGCGAGTATAATGAGGGTGTGCATCCCACTATTCTCAGGTAAACTTTTTACATATATGGAAATCAGCGGTTGTTTCACATTCGGAAAACCACCTATGTATATAGATTAATATAGGGTATAGGATGGTATAGGTGATTTACAACCCATCAATTTGCGATTCTGGTCAACAAGTATGGCGTAACCCAAGTAATTTAAAGAGGTTATATCCTCAGTTAGATGCACAGGTTATATGTGGGTTATAAACCACTTGCTATCAAAATGGCACTCCCCGAATGAACCGGCCCAGGTCTTTTTAAAACCCGGGGTTAACATGCTTAACTGGAAATATGGTAAGTGCTCCGCTTATGGACTGCATTGATCATCCCTAAAGTGGTGTAGTTCCCCTACCATATATATATATATTATATATATGTGCGTTCCCTCTGTATAAATGTACTTCTAAGTGATTGTAAATGGAAGGTTGGAGGATGTTAGGGGTATATGTTTGGCAGGTACAAATTCCATAAAGCATGCAATGATTCTGAATGACCGGAGATTTATATAGCCCTTCCGTTTGTTGCGCCGGTTGCAGTCGTGACACGTTGTCACCCAAGTTTATTTGAATAGATTTCCTCAAAAGTCCTTGAGACTCGTCTACAGTCCCCGGGAATGATACCTCACTTGGTTATTCGCTTGGTCTCAAGGTCACGTTGCAACCCCATTGTGTTGGCTTTTCCGTCGGTTGCTTGCCCGTGGAAATTGGAAAAAATGAATGAACTGTGAATTCTTTCACAGACATGGAACTAGAACCAAAACAGGTGAAAATCCAAAATGATCTCCGAAAGAAAACTCCGGCGTTATATCCCTAGCTCCAGGATGCATCCTTTGAGTTGGTCTCGCGTATCATGAAGTTTGTGGAATACAAGCTGGACAAGATCTCCCCTGTGACCTTTGACAGTTCTCTGATCTCCATGACGCTTCAGACGGAGCTCTACGTGAGTCAGCGCGGGCAGTATATGGAGCTCCTGCCGATTTGCAACCTCACAAAGGCTGAATGCATCCTGGGCGGGAAATCCCGCACCAATGGGCATTGAAATTGGAAAATCATCAAACTATATCAATGGGGGATGTTCCATTGCCATGTGACTGATTCCCAGAGGCTACCCATCAGTTCATGGAATTTTCTGGGCATGTTAAGAAAGTGATGCTTAAAAAAAACAGTAGACTGAAGGATGTCCATTTTTGCTCCGAGTATTGAAGGGAAAAACAAAGTAAATGATAACGACGTCATCACAATGTCGCTTGAACATGTTGATTTGTAAGGGTACTTCTCAAAAAAACTATATCACATTCCAGTGAGGTTGGTGAATTCCCGCAATTTACCCAGACGGCCCAGACATGTGGCATTTACCTACAAAACTGGGTCATGTTTGGAGTACATAAATGTTGATGATTGATAAACAGTCCATACATGGAGCATAGGGGCATGCAGTGGGGAAACTAGAGGGAGCGCAGACGGTGAAAGATGCTTGGGCTGATGAAAGCCGTGAACATGATGTCTCAAGCCCTTTCTGGGAAAGTTCCTTGCCAATTGGCCCCTGCGATTTGCGCACCGCTTCAGCTGCAGGTGCTCTATCCTGAAACCTTTGCATACATTTGCGCCAAATTGCAGAAGCAGGTCTTCGAAACCAAGGACAACAAGGGGAATAGAACGGAGGCTCAACCACTTGGGTCATTGGTTCCCCATTGCTGTTTTCCATAGCCCAAGAAAGGAATGGGACTCCCAGTTGCGAGTTGGTGTATGTTCACCCATCTAGCCTAACTATAGATACATATATACACGTTATGCACATACAGATATAGATAGTAATATATAGATATAGTATAGATATAGATAGATAGATAGATACATACATACATACATATATATATATATATATATTTGTACATGTACATATACATACATATATATATATATACATGAAATGAAATATGATACCTCGCAGTGAACCTTGGTCATTTCACCCAACCTTGCCAACCTTTCATCTATCCTTTGAGGAGAAGATCTTTGTGATGGGTGCGGTCGCCACGAGTCTCTACATCACGGTGACAGGGAAGTTCATCCATGTGGAGGTGACGTGACGGAGTCACCCCTTCCCGGATTCCTGAAGAGGGTGTGTCTTTTTCCAGCCATGGCTGGGACAAAAACACGTGAAAAATGTTGATTTAATGAGTTTTAATTAGTTTTACCTAGGAAAAATGGTGATTTCAGGGATTTTTCATGGGAAATCCCTTAAATTGAGGTTTTAATCGGAGAATATGGGAGAATCATGGAACTAAGCTGGGCGATTTCCCAACCAGGTGAAATTGCAGGAGAGAGAAAGAGAGCTGATGTTTTTAACCATCAGATATATAGATATGGGGATGTGGCGAATGATTCTGACATCAACACACAACCAGAAGCAACCAGTCTGGTTTTATGAGTTTAGTGTTCTGGATCCTTTTCCAGCGATCTCACTGGCCGAGCCCTATAAATGATTTTTTGGATTGGGGGAAGTATCCCAAAAAGGGTTTTGTTTCTGATTTTTGAACCATTTTGAACCATTTGTCCAGATGGTGGAAATTGTTCATAGGGGTCGCATTGGCAGTCCTAATTGGGTCGCATTTGGCAGTCCTAATTGCTGGATGAGATTACTTTGGTTCATCAGCTTAGCTGCTGACTAAATTCACCTTCGAAAACGTCTTACCAAGTGAGGATAAGGGAAATAGCAAGTAGAAAACCTCATGCTTCTTGGATGTGCCGCGATATACAGGAATAAAAAGATAAGAAGGGTTGCATTTCCCACTACTTTATCAAGCTTTGCCATAACTGCAGTTGGAGGATATCAGAGGTTCAGATGATCCTGATGGTATCCGTTAGTAATGTGTCAAGAGAACACACCCTCCGCGAATCAAACATGGCGTGCTGGAAAATTCCCCCAGGTATAGATGAATCTCCCGCTGAAAGACCATTTACATTGGCTGTTAAATTGCAATGTTTGATTGCCAGAGGGCATTTTAATAGTCTTTACTATCTATAGTCCTTGATAAGATTATGATCAGATATCTAATAGTCCTTAATCATCAGATATCTAACAATGTGGGTAGAACAATGCCATAAACCACCCATTTGGGAATGGTAAACATATCAGCTATAAAAATGGTGATGACCGGGGGATGGTTTCTGGCATTGTTTTACCCACATTAATGTCACATTAATCATCTATGACATGACTATCAGATATCCTCAGATAGAGCCCTCAAAGCCAATCCCATGACGATCTGGTGGCGAGGCAGAAGACCCCAAGACCGAACGCCTGGTGACAGGCCCAGCAACGCCGGGAACGATGTGGCGTTATGTCTATACTATATAGATACATATATACATATATATATATATACATGTGTGTATATGACGTGTGTATGTCTATATATAAATAGTAGCCCCCAAATAGATGCCAACAAGTGAGTTATCACTGCTGTGGGATTTGACGATTCTATTTTTTGGGGGATGCTATGTATGCATATACATTCATGTGTGTGTTCAAGTGTGTACACACAGGGTTGCATACATATATAGCCTGCATGTACGTGTAAGAATGGATGAGTAGATAAGATAAGATCAGATAAGATATATAAGAAAAGAGTTTAAAGATAGATATGATAGAGAAGATAGATTTCATAGATAGGATAGATAAGAGAGATAGACCGATGGATGGATGGAAGGATGGATGGATCTATGGATAGATGGATGGATTTGCCAAAGCAAAGCCCGGCCTTGTTTCTCATAAACCATCCAAATTTGGCGATGTCACTCATGTTTGAGCCAAGCAAGCGAGGTGCCAAAATGAAGGAAGGGTCAACATAGCCTTGAGTTCAGCAGCTGAACATCCTAGGATAGTCTATCCGCTTCACTGGTTTGACGACCTGATGGGAGATTCAAAAATGATATGTAAAGTTCATACTGGGCATGGCTGTGAACGCATGTCAAAACAGCCGTTCTGTGTTCGGAGCATCTTCAATCAGCTGTGTTCTAAAAGAGACATCCTCGTCAGGAAACGAGTGGTTCGATGAGCTAGCACTGTATGGCGAGGGCGTGATTCATCACGCCACACTCAGTGCGAGAACCTTTTCAGAGGTCTTGACTCTGGACCAGGAGGCCGGGTTCGGTATGGCGTGAGATGGTTTGATGATGTTTGATGATGTTTGATGATCCTATGGCATTTGGTACCCTGGTAAGCACCAAATAGATTTGTCACCTCTAAAAGGGGCAAAATCTTCACCATTGGCAGAGCAGGTAATGACCTGGATCCCACCACACCATATCCCGGTGTCAGAAAAAAAGCCCTGCAGTGACTGGGAAATCATGAGAATCACTGCTGGTTTGGAACAGGTTTTATTTTTCCATAATAGTATATGGAATCATCGTATCCCAACGGACGAACTCCATCATTTTTCAGAGGGGCCGGTCACCAACCAGATCATCTAAGTGAAGGCTTTTCCGAAACCGCTTTTCCGAAACGGTTTCCCCATGGTTTTCCCATGGTTTCCCCATGGGTTTTCCCATGGTTTCCCCGCGACTTTGTCCAAGGACCTGATCGAAACCTTGCGGAGCTCACCGCACTGCGCCTCGATGTTCTGCGACTATGCCAAGGCGCAGGGCCACTGGGGGACTCCCTATGGTTTTTTAAAGGGGATATACCCTCTGGTTATGACTAACATAGCCATGGTATAGATGGCCCATAGAAATAGATGGTTTACCTGGGTTTACCTATTAAAAGTGGTGATTTTCCATGGCTATGTTAAATAACCAGATGGTAATGGAAATGATAATGGAAAAATAAATGGTGATATAATGGTGATATAAATTGAGATAAATCCTAGTCGAAAATATTGAATCCCCTACCCAGAAACCTCTAGTTTAGTACTATAATATACTGTAATGGTATGTATTTAAATTACTTGGGGGTTCATTGGGAGTTGTTCGATTTCGAATGTTTGAACACTGTCATTGATCATGGCTAAAAAAGATGCGGGGCGAAGCTCCTTGCCTGTCGCAATGTTGCCGCGCGTTTCAATGACATGAACGGCGAAGCTAACCCAGAATTGATCAAGAATTAATTTGGGGAACACCCCTATATAATCCTATATACATGTTCTCTCAAAATTGCAAACCCGTTAAACCATCCAAGGTTTCATTATGTTTCATGAATTGTCATCAATCCATAATGAACACTACTATCCCTTGTTTCTCTGCCAATACTATTTCTTAAAACAGTTCAATCTTGCTATAAGCCTTTTCTTCTAGCTGCAGATCCTTCAGGTCAGGTTTTTCCTGGTGAGGCATCCCTCGTGGTCTCTTTGATCAGGCCTTCATCGACAACATGCGGAAGCCTTCGACAAAGAGCCGTCACAAGCAAGAATTGGACGAAGCCGAGCATTGCTGCAGACTGACCAAGGAATATCAGGCAGGGCTGTGAACAGCTGCGCACCGAAGCTGTGAACAGCAGGCTATCCTCAGCACTCATGTCGAAACTTCTTCCCAAAAGGACACCAACCATCTTCACCAAATCCCTATTAATCCCCTCAAATTACAGTAATTAACATTATCCAGACTCCAGAACACCATTTTGGAACCAATCATTTTGTGGGCACACTTTTGGAGTATGTAACAGTATGTATGATACGTTGATATGCCTTGTTATTCCCGAGGAAAAGGCACCCCTTCTCCTTCCATCCCCTAAAAGTACATCCAACATGTTCAACCAATATCTTCTTGTGACCTGACAGCTGCCTCTAAATCGACCTCAGAAGCAGCTGTTCCTATGGAAACTGAGCCCTCCTTCCAATATCTCTCCTTCCAAAATGTGTCGCTTCCCGATCCAGCGACAACCAGCGACAGGAGCTGTACCCGGATCCCAAGACCCGGCTGAAGAACATCCGGCTCTTCCCCAAGGACCTCGAAGAGGTGGACGAAACCTTTGAGCTGATGCCCTTGGACGTGGGCGCGGAATCCGGCACGTTGCCAAGGAAGTGCCGAGCCGTGAGAAGATGCTGAGAACTACTGGTTTTGCTGTTTTTGATGTGTTTTTTCTGAGATGTTACAGATGTGCAAGGATTTGATGGATAGTTGCGTTGATGGCTAATGTGAGCACTTGCAAATTAGGATGCTTCGAATTGGTGTCAAATTTTAGGTTGGTGAATTCTGTGAAGGTGTTGACCAAGATTTATGGATGATGTTTCCAATTTAAAACGAAGCCGGACGTTCTACCAGACACTGTAGAAGTGGATGATGGAAGTGGGGTTTGAAATCCTCATTGATATGAACCTAATCCCTTCACTTTCGGAACAAGAACTTTTGATATCAGCATATCAAATACCTCGTGTGCGCCCACAGACTTCGTAGATCCGAAACGCCGAGAGAAACCACTGGGCTCTGTGCCGCTGTTCAGCAGTCGGTGCTAAGGCCGGTGAATGGTGGATTGCTGGAGTACATCAAGACTTTGTCAGGGCCAGGCTTGCAGATGGATGCTTGGAGAAAATATGAGAAAATAAGTCATATCCACCAATTACCGCAGTACATCATCATGAATACAGTAAAATACAGAAATATGAATAACTATGTCTCATGAATGTCCAGTTCAAATTGGTACCTTTGTGTTTGGCCAAAATCCTGCTGCGTCATGATATTTCTTGTTATTCCATATGTTCCATGTCAACATGCCACGGTTCATAGCTAAGTGTGGCCCAAAACGTCTTCATTGTATTCATGTTAAGTAAAAAAAACAACAACAATCCACCCCTCCTGGCCTGAAAATACAGCACTCCACGCTCCAGGAATCGTTGCAGCAGGACTTGCGGACACATTTACCTGAGATTCACATCCAACATGGTGCCTACACCGTTTTCGAGCAGGCCGGGACGACCCAGATTAGGGTACCCTACCTGTAATCAGTCGCAATGGAAAATAACCGCTATTATGATAATGGCCCGCGTGTAGATGATATACCGTGATATACCTATTCAAAGTGTGATTTTCCATAGTCTATGTCTTTTGAGTATAGTCGGGTATTCATCCTTGTCCATGCTTGGAATCATGCTGATGCTTAAAACCACTGCTTAGGGCGGGAGTATTTGGCTGGTTCCGTCGCAACGTACCTAGCAAACAGTGGCTTAGTACAAGGAAACACCTCAGGAAAGCAAACGAATTCTTGAAACAATATGGGTGCACAACCGAATAAATGAACGAATCCCCATAGATCCTTTTTAAATTCCTTGTATATAACTACAAGTAGTTATCTAGAAACTGAGGCATCCTTTTCACCGGCCATTGAACAGCTCATCAACCAAGGTTTTAATATGATGCCATATCCCCATAAATCTCTATAAACCCGCAAATAAACCCTCAACAAACCACCCGAAATCTTGGGTTTTCACAGCTGTTCAACACTGCGATGAGGCGGGCGAACGGGACCGCGCCGAGTCATCGTGCATCAGTTTGTTGTCGATGATCTACAACCGCTATGACCTTTTGGTGCATCCTCAGGCGTCCCGCGCGTCCCGTTCCCGTTGGCACCATGAAAAACAGCAATTGTATGGAATTGTTTCAAAGTCTAAAAATGGAACGTGACCCCCTGTTTGAGATATTATATATCTATGTGATATGTGTATATGTATATATATATGTATAATATGTATGTATGTATATGTGTGTGTGTGTGCATTTATGGGTTTTGAAGTGTATACATATTATACGGTATATATACTCCGTATAGTGTATATATATATATACATATATATATATATACGTGTGTGTGTATATGTACATGTGTATGTGTGTGTGTGGTGTATATCGTATCTAAGATTACCGCAAGACCCTATGGTTTGCCCGCAAGGTTAGAATGGGGTTGAAATATTGTCCTTCGAAATGCTCAAAAACCTGCGCAGGGTCAGAAACCCAGACGACGAACCCTAAAACCCTAAAACCCTAAAACCCTGAAACCCTGAAAACTCTGAAAACTCTGAACCCGAAAGCAGAAAACACTGCGTATACGCAGTATTTTCTGCATTTTTCTGCAATTTCTCTTCTCATGGTCGACGGCAGGGAATCCTCAATGTTGCAGTCCGGGCAAATCACGGGGTCTGTGCGTAAGATTATGCAAGTGCATCATATTATATTATAAGATATGCATTGATTGCCTAACTATGTCGCCGTGCCAGGTCAATGAGGACACACGGCTTCGAAGCGACCAGTGGGGCCAGCTTCAGGAGAGCTACGGCCTACGGGGGGGCAACCCCCAAGCTAAGGGGCAATGGCTATGGGTTTGGTTCTTGAGGTGATTTGACCATGGCAAAATGGATGGACAATGATGGATAATGATGGATAATGATGGATACTTAGATAATAGGTTATGGATGTTTGTGGAATATGGATGGGATATCACTTTTTTAAACCAACTGATATGATACTTGGGTCTGAAAATGAGGAACCCCTCAGTTGTGGCTATCAAAGAATAGGGTAAAATGATGATAAACCAGCTGACTTATTAGCAGAGACCCCCCTCAGATATGGACATCTTAGCAGCGGCCCAAGAGTTGTAAGGTGCTGTTTCCCCGAAAAGTGCTCGTGAAAAGATGAAAACGTGGTGAAATGTTGGATCTCAAAATGGCCGGAACAGACCTCACTTTCCCGAAGTATGGGAAGCCTCCCCGAAATCAAACCGAGGATGGTGGGGAGACCAATGCAGGTAAGCCATTGGATTTGGGTTCACCAACGCACAGATAGTAAGAAGAGCTCCTACTTGGGGCGCCGTGCTAAAGCACAGCTTGCATCCCTATAATCCATGAAGTTTTTTTTCTGACAAACTTGGCATTTTGGAGTAATCCACACAATGAAAATCCAGGATGATGGACCCAAATGTCCAACGACTTTCACATATCCAAATAAGGGATGGGGGTTACCCCCAAAATAATCCAGCTATTGGGGATCCCCCATGGATTCCCGTGGAGAGGACTTGATCTCCTGGGCCAAGCCCAGTCACCAACAGATCCATGCGGCCTTGGTGCTACTGGCCATTCGAGGTCATGGAAGCCGCAAAAAATCTCAGGCTAATTAAGGCTTAGCCAACCAAAGTGGAGGGTGTGCCTCTAGGATCCTTTAGGAAATTGTGCATTTAATCAATGGATGATCCACTAGTTGGCGCACCACTGGAGAGAGAGCACGAAATCCGGCTGAGAAGTCCTGTTTCTGACGGTTTCTGAGATGTGTCCACATAGCAAAGTCAGGGCTGATGTACTGCTCTGCTGCGAAGAAAAGGGTGACCCCAGAACGGCTGTTTTTTTAAGTTGATGGGGACGATAAGGCAAATCAGCTCCAAGAATTGCGGGAAAAAAAACATTTAAAAAAGAAAATGATTATTTGACATTTGGAATTGTGCCAATTTGCTCCCGCCAAAATTGAATATTTCTAAGTAAGAGCCTAGGTTTAGTATTGGATCTAAATGGGAGAATCAGCTTTTTTGCTGGGCCAACGGTAAATCATGTTAAATCACCATGTTTTGTTGGTATAAAAATCATCTTTTTTGCCGGTTCCATTCCCCTCCAGGCCTTGGCAAGTCCACCGCGGTACAGAGTCAGATCCAGAGCTGCGAGGGGCGTCCGGAACAAGCGGTGCTGTACCTCGTGGAGAACGCCCGAAACGTGACGTGGCACGTGTAGAACGCCAGGAAGATGGGAGAATTCACTGAGACTATGGTTTTAGCCAAGAATTTTGGTGCTTGATGACAATTCCATTGGGATTTACATCGTATTTACCCAGCAATTTTCATGTTTGATGGCAGTTGATCGTGATTTACAAAAAAAAACACGAACAGAATTACTGGCTGGAAAATATGAGTTATTTTATGTTATTTTCAAACATGGAGATGGGATGATGATTCCCAATGACATGCATATTTTTCTGGGAGGTTGAAACCACCACCAAGAGTCAGTAACTATTCAAAATTGTTTAAAATGGGAAATGACCCAGCCAAAACGGGATCTAAAATGATCTAAACATAGGGGTATCCCTAAACATGGCAGGCTTTGAAAAGGAACAGTGTTTTTTGTCTTGCATCTTGGTTGTAATTAAATTCAGGAAAGATGATGTTGTTTTTCTGAAGAATGTGTTATGGAGATGTAATATGATGTCACCCCGAAAATATATAAGTCTCCGAAGATATGATAGGCATTGATAGGCATAATTATCTTCATTGGACAATTATGATATAGCCACCATTTTACGACTGCCTGGTTTATTTTGTGTTGCCCTGGTTATTTAACGTAGCGAACTGGAAAATCACCATGCTATAGCTAGGTAAATCATGATATTTTTTTATCATTTAGTTCTACGGGCCATGGCTTCCATAGAAACTGTTAAATAACCAGAGGGTATCCCATTTGATATACAATTAAATCCACAGTTTTCCCATTGACAATGGATGTATCAGTTTCTTTTATCAGCCTGGAGGTCGTGCCTTCAGTTGCAGCCTTGAGCACTGAAGCTTTGCACTATGTGCGTTCAGTGCTCAAAGTGCATGACGCTTCGCAAGCTGTCGCGGTTCGATTTTTCGGTGCTGGCTTAACGGTTTGACCTTCGAATGGAGGAGTTCTTTACAAAGAAGAAAACACATTACAAGAAACATGGAAATTCAACAAAGGTTAAATAAATATAATAAATCGGGGTAAATCTTCGAACACAGGACCATTTCAATTTTTCCAAAGCAAACGGTCAAATTGCCAGAAGGTACCCGCAACGTTTGGGGTGATAAGATCAAAAACTGATCATATCATTGGGATTAACGGCAAATGTATACGTAGCTCAGATGGCACTGCAACAACATGATATGTGGGTTCGTCCTAAATGGAGAATACCCCAAAATTGCCATTTAATGGAGAGGCTGGGTTGTGTATCCATTTGATGGGCGTATCAAGATGGAAAGATAAACACCCAGGTTCTCAGGGGTGACAGAATGATTTACCCAATGAAAAAATGTCACAGTGAATGATTTGGGTACCCTGCATTTCTGGACAACTCCAAATGTTGATTGCCGTGCTTGAACCAATAAAAAGGATGCTTTTGTTGTCCTGAAGTTAGACGTTAGACCACAAGAATGGTGTCAATGATTCAAGAGAAATTATATGGATCAAAATTTGCGGCCCCTGAGATCAAGTGTGTTCCCTGGGGTTGTCCTGAGAACGCTCACTGTACATGACTATATAACAAGGATGTAAAAGACGGATACTCAGGCCCTCAAAGTACACCACCCTGAAGAATTGTTAAAAAATCCACGAACAACATTTTCTGAGCTGGTAATATCACTTTGTTTCATGATGCGGTCAATGGCTTTAGGGACAACTTGAGGCTTTTTCTTGCAATGATTGGGTGTAGCCATGCCAATCTCGCCTGAGGAAACCTTTAACTTTGCTCAGATGCTTCAAGGAGAAAATGTGCCTGCCAGTGTGGAGCAGCTCCAAGAGAAGATCCGTCAGCATGGCCACTGGGCGGAAAGGCTGAGAAATCCCCATGGAATGGGAAAATCATGGGAAAAAACATAGCAAAAATTGGAGAAATCCTCTATGAATGGAGGAGGTTTTAGTTTGGGGAAAATCAAACGTGGGATTGTCCATTGCTATGTTTGATTCCCAGAGGGGTCTGTGATTCTTTTCCATGTTAGCTACAAGCACATTTTGCATCTAATGTTTGTCGCATAGTCGGCTCAAGGATTTTTTATTGCGTGGTCCTTCAATATCAATATCACCGTTTGTTATTCTGTCTTCACCAAAACAGCCCTGTACTTCTTCATTGGCTCCCACAATCGCTGGCTTTCTGCCCATGAGGAAATCTCCCGGCAAGTACCATCCCTCCAATGAACAACTCGACCGTGCAATGACTTGGGGGTTGGAAGTGTGCTTTCCTCTAAACCTGGATGACTCAGGGTCTACGTTATTCTTAGGAATGATTTTTGGTATGTTTCTTTGTTGCCGTTACGAAACTTGAACTGCACCAAGCAACACCGCGACTGCTGGCTGATCCTTTCCAAAAGATGGCTTCAGGCCGCCAAACGGGATATACCCACAACCCCATTTCCGGAGAATCATTCTTATTTTGTTGACAAAGCCACAATATACAGAGAGTTGCTAAAGTCGTGCCTAGATTAGTGAGAATCGTTGAAAATAGCTTCGGAGCACTTGATTTTGAAAAGTCGTGCCTTTTTGTGAAACGCATAGGAAATGCATGATTTTCTGGTTTTCATGATCGGATCTATGATTTTCAGTTGGTGTTCAGCATGTTGGGCAAAGACTTCACATCTGAGTTACTTAAGACTTGGTCGTTGCATTTAGTTGGTGTTTTGATGTTGGGCAAAGATTTCACATCTGACTTACTTAAGACTTGGTCGTTGCATTTAGTTGGTGTTTTGATGTTGGGCAAAGATTTCACATCTGACTTACTTAAGACTTGGTCGTTGCATTTAGTTGGTGTTTTGATGTTGGGCAAAGACTTCACATCTGAGTTACTTAAGACTTGGTCGTTGCATTTAGTTGGTGTTTTGATGTTGGGCAAAGACTTCACATCTGAGTTACTTAAGACTTGGTCGTTGCATTTAGTTGGTGTTTTGATGTTGGGCAAAGACTTCACATCTGAGTTACTTAAGACTTGGTCGTTGCATTTAGTTGGTGTTTTGATGTTGGGCAAAGACTTCACATCTGAGTTACTTAAGACTTGGTCGTTGCATTTAGTTGGTGTTTTGAGTAGCCATTTCTTCCTTTGTATTAATGTAACGTACTAGGAGTCTCATGTTGTTCAGCCATCATGTGGGGAGTGGCCTTTCCTAGGGAATGAGTTGACGTCGTTCCGACGTCGTTCCGACGTCGTTTTTTTCCAGTATATATCATATCCCTTATCTCACACTTCACTTTCAGATTCACTATTCATTTCACAACAAACCATTATCAAAAACGATCCATCAGCGGCTTGCTCTGCCGCCCATGCAACGCAAAAACCCAACACTTCCTACAGGCTACTATTTTTGAAACTTCCGCCACCGCCTTGTGCGGTACTACTGGTATCAGTCATATAATCAAAATGAAGCAAAGGTTTCCGCTGCATTTAGATGGTGATTTGGGTTACGGGCATGACATAGGCATGACTTCCTGGAAATTGCATTTAGATGGGGGAAAGCAGATTTTCAGCACACAGGCGTGACTTAGGCATGAGTTTCGCGCTTTCCTGTATGGGTTTCCACTTAAATCCAGTTTCAAATTCTGCTTCTTAAGGGTTCAAGCCATATTCTTACAAGTTCACTCATGGTTGAATCACGGTCCGTTTATAAATGCGATACTCAAATCCACCCATTTTCTGGTTGAACCCATCCTTTTTTCCCCAGTGAAATACGAGAGAGAGAGAGAGATGGTTCTAAGATGATCTACCAGACAGAAACTGAGGCGTTGAGGTGTTCCATTGCTATGTCATGTTCCTTCTTGGCTTCATGGCCGGTTTGGGCGGTGGCCGCGGCTCCAAATTCTTGGGAGCCAGGCACCCGGCAATGGGGGGATAGCTTGGATGGGTAATTCTTTTCCCCCGTTCACATTATATACTTACACCACCCCAGTTCTATGGTCCCAGTCATATATGGTTTCATCATGTTTCATCCTACATCCACCATGCTTCATATTGGAGATGTTTACGGGCTGAACGCGGGTTTTGATCAGTTTTTTTAAATTTTTGCTTGACCTTTTGCCATCAAAGGGGATCTATTTGATTTATCCAAAGTGTTTGATCACTTTATCTGAGATTGACCATGAATGGATACCCCCCAAATGATCCTAGTTATGACCATGCGTTATTGGGAGAATGAGGTATGAGGTGTTAAACGGATTTTGGGGCGCGAGATTTTCAGACAAACCCATGTGAGGAAGGTGTTCCTACTTCTTGTGATTATTTGGCGTCATGTTTGGAGTTGACGGTGGTAAAGTTCCACCACAGATTTCCATAGATGGTGAACCATTTCTGGACAGAGATGTTGGGTCGTGTTTTGATTTCAAGAAGCCCCTTTTTTCCCGGAGCCAGTGGCATTTGCATGGGAAGTGCTTCTTCTCACCGGTGTATGAATATATTATATATGGTACTTTCTTTAAATGATTTTAAATGGGTGATCCCCCAAAGCCAAGGGTTTCAATACTAAAATGGTCTGATTTGGATGATTTGAGGGGTATCCCCATTTTAGGACACCTCCATGGTTAATTGTGTGGCCTATCGGTTGGGCTTTCTTTCACCCGTCTTCATACATGGCTATCGGCTCTTGGGATGCGTTCCCACTACGGTCAATGCTGTGGAGCCAGCAGCAATTCCACCCATCTTACCCAAGTTTCATCATTTTACCAAGCCACTAATGCTGCAATGGAACATGTCAAGGACTGAATTCAAACTGGTGGTTGCTGAGATCTTGAATGTTTAGTTGTTTGCCACATCAGTGATGGTCGTGCGAACTGTAAACCCATTTGCTCACTATATCACCAGGCTATATAGTGGCTATACCCCATGTTTGTTGGTAACTCCCCATTTGGTGATTAAAGAACTGCCTCATTGTCGCCAAAACTATGGGCCCCCGGACCCAATGAGTTGGATACGAATCCATCCCCACCTAGCGACCATGGACGCATGGCAGGAATGGAGAGGTGTTGATTGCCAGTATGCAGGTCTTCTCAAACCTCCTTTCCCTGACTCCTCGAAGCGTTTCTTGCCGTTCGTGAGAAAAAGTGGAGGATTTCACCAGGAAAGATGGGGGATTTAAAAGATAAAAAATTACGATTTCATCAGCAGAAGTGTGGATTTAATAGTCAAGAATATGGATTTGATCAGCAAAATGCTGGATTTAAGCAGCGCCAGGTTGGAGCACCAGGGAATAGTAGGAAACCAAATCTTTTGCCGCATTGTCGCACTCCGCGATCTGGGTGGATCCATATCAACGGTTCATTTTTGTTCTGACCCGGCTGTGTTCTATGCTGAGGTGTATTGGGGCTATTTGCGAGCTCGTGCCAACTCCTTCCAAGCCAACTTCATTACAGGAGACTGGCTCGTGTTCTTTTCAACTTTTAGTCCAGATGTTTGAGGTTTAAGACATCGTTGGAAACACGTGCTGATACCCCCCCTATTTTTTGGTAGGTTTATACCATTCCCCTCCGGTAATCGAACATTAACATTGTTTGCTGGAAAATAATCATTCAGTTCCATGATTGTCCAAGCTGTAAACCTCAATTTCTAGTGGATTTCCCATTTAAAGCCCATCAAGTCGCCATTTTGTATAGTTACTGTAAATCATCTATAAATGGGCCATTTCCCAGCTTGGCATGTTTGGTGACACCGAATGGATGTTGCTTCACACACCATCACTTAGTCCCGCAGGAGAAGACTTGGCGATAGTCCGGCTCGCATGCCTTTCACGGGTACACGATCAGCAGGAATTCGTAGCCTTGTACCTTTGCCTTTGTTTAAAGGCCCTGGGAAGATTGGAAAGCCAGAAATCCACGTTAATCCCATCCACATATATATAATACATATAATAACATATAATACATATAATACATATAATACATATAATACATAATATAATACATATAATACCTATATATATATACAGCACCCAGAGGGCAAACATCATCCAACTACCATTTTGGTGGCACACTTTTCGACATCTCTTTGGGGCTACAATATTAAATACCCCTTTTTCTGGGCCCCCAAAATGAACAGATCGAGTATACGAAATCAGGGTTTTGCTGGGTGGCATTTACATAGGGGGAAGGGACTACTATGGAGAATAACTATATACTTATATTAGATAGTGAGAATGATTGGTAGATAATAAACATAATGATCGCTTACTCCGGCTATTGTTTTTGGATACTCAATAATTATGCATCCGAGTTGGTAAGACAGGACCCATTTCAATGGGAAAATCTTGGAAATATTTGGGGAACAATGAAATAGAAACCGGAAATTTAATCCGATGATTTTTGAACATGGACCCAGAAGCAGGTAGTAAGATGTAGTAAGTAGTTTACGACCCAGTGATATGTGGTATATACATGATATACATGGGGTCATTCACCACTTTGGGATTGGATCAATAGGAACACATAGTAAGCGTACCGGTGTTGTTTGTTACATCAAATTGAAACATGTAATCGCCGTTGGTTATACAGATGTATATTTGTTATATGTATATATATTTATATATATACATATACATATAGTTATATACACACGCGGTTTCGGTCGATGAATCCCCCATTTGTAGGTCTTCTCCAAAATTCCCCCGCCGAGGCGACACGCTTGGACCTCCCTGGATCGCAAGGAGCGCGGGACGCTGGTGGAACATTTGTTGGCCGATGGCATCCAGCAGCGGGCCGTGATTTTCACGTTCCTGCCTGACTCTCGACAAATTCTGGACAGCCCCCATTTAACGATAGTTATCTCCCCTTATAGTTAGCTATACGTGTATATATATATACATTTATACATATATACATATATACATATATACATATATACATATACATTTATACATATATACATTTATACATATATACATATATACATATATACATTTATACATTTATACATTTATACATTTATACATATATACATATATACATATATACATTTATACATTTATACACTTATACATTTATACATTTATACATATATACATATATACATTTATACATATATACATATATACATTTATACATATATACATACATACATACATATATACATTTATACATTTATACATTTATACATGTATACATATATACATATATACATATATACATATATACATTTATACATTTATACATATATACATATATACATATATACATATGTACATTTATACATTTATACATTTATACATTTATACATATATACATATATACATTTATACATATATACATATATACATTTATACATATATACATACATACATATATACATATATACATTTATACATTTATACATGTATACATATATACATATATACATATGTACATTTATACATTTATACATTTATACATGTATACATTTATACATTTATACATATATACATATATACATATATACATTTATACATTTATACATATATACATATGTACATTTATACATTTATACATATATACATATATACATATATACATTTATACATATATACATATATACATTTATACATATATATATATACACACATATATACATTTAGACATTTATACATTTATACATGTATACATTTATACATTTATACATATATACATATATACATTTATACATATATACATATATACCTTTATACATATATACATTTATACATATATACATTTATACATATATACATTTATACATATATACATATATACATACATACATATATACATATATACATTTATACATTTATACATGTATACATATATACATATATACATATGTACATATATACATTTATACATTTATACATGTATACATTTATACATATATACATATATACATTTATACATATATACATATATACCTTTATACATATATACATTTATACATATATACATATATACCTTTATACATATATACATTTATACATATATACACAGAAAAACATATATACATTTATACATGTATATATATATATCTACATTTATACATTTATACATATATACATTTATACATTTATACATTTATACATGTATACATTTATACATATATACATATATACATATATACATATTTACATATATACATATATATAATATATAACATATATACATTTATACATTTATACATGTATACATATATACATATATACATATATACATATATACATTTATACATTTATACATGTATACATATATACATATATACATATATACATTTATACGTAATACATATATACTTATATACATTTATACATTTATACATATATACATATATACATTTATACATGTATACATATACATATATACATATATACATATATACATTTATACATTTATACATGTATACATATATACATATATACATATATACATTTATACGTAATACATATATACTTATATACATTTATACATTTATACATATATACATATATACATATGTACATATATATATACATATATACATTTATACATATATACATATATACATATATACATTTATACATTTATACATGTATACATATATACATATCTACATATTTACATTTATACATATATACATATATACATTTATACATTTATACATATATACATATATACATATGTACATGTATATATATATACATATATACAGATATAGATATATAATCATATATAATCATGCATATATGTGTGCATACATGTATACATGTATATATATATACATAGTTATACAATAATTGGTCACGGAATGTGGGAAAAGGATGGAATGGGAAGTCGGTCAAAAGGCCATGGAATTGTAATCGGAGGGATTTTTTTGAGGGCAATATTTTTTCCGTTTTGGGCATTGTTTTTGGATTTCTGTTTCCCTGCTTCTTTGCTTTTCTGCCTTTCTGCTTCTCTCTTTTCTGCTTTCCCTGCTTCTCTGCTTTTATAGTTCTTTGCTTCTTCGCTTCTCTGCTTCGCCGCTGTGCTGCCTCTCTGTTTCTCCGCTTTTCTGCTTTTCCCTGCTTTCCTGCTTTTCTCTGCTTTTCTGCCTTTCCAGCTTCTCTGCTTTTTTCTTTTCCCTGATTCTTTTGCTTACCTGCTTTTCTGCTCCTCTTAAACCAAGCCTAAATAAATAAACCCTAAAAGATCCGAAACTAACCCTGAACAAAACCTAAATAAACCCTAACTCTAAAACCAACCCTTAAACAACTTTAAATCAAACAAAACTCCTAAACTAAGCCTAAAACCAACCCTAAATGAACCTTAGTTGCAAACTACCATGTTACATGAACAGTTCCAGGACCAAAATGTTGCAAACTCCATCGAAAATAAGAGGTTCGAACTCAAAAATGCCGCAAAGACCGTTGAAACGGCAGCTTCCAGCTCCAACATGTTACAAATTCCACCAAAATGTTGCAAAATCTAAAATGAAAGGTTCCAACTACAAAATATTGCAAAGACAGTTGAAATGGCAGCTTCCAGCTCCAAGATGCTGCAAATAGCAAGAAAATGGGCAGAAAAGCAGATCCAAAAAAAATGTCCAAAACGGCCAAAAAAAAAACAAAGGAATGCCGGACCCCATGGGACCCCCTGGTTTGACCAAACAAAAAAAAACTAGGATTTAGGGATGTTGATCTCCCATACAAATGCTTTATATCAATATCAATTTATATATATCTACATATATATATATATCGGTTTTTGATCCATCCACATGCCATGGCAACGGTCAACATACGTGGCTTGTGATTTTCCAGTTCAGCGCTGCTGATCCCCTCATTGGAATTCCTAATGATGTTGGGATGACCATGGACCTACCATGCTTGGACCGTAGCACTTAGGTCACTCTTTGCTCCGGGGTTGGGAAGGGGGTAGAGGACCCCACTTGAAGATATTCTCGAAAGGGATGCTTTTTTGGATTCCAATATGCTTGGACTGCGATCAAGCGATCCAACTTCAGATCTTCCCGGTGGTGCTTGCGAACTTGTTTGGATAAGGGAAGAGATCCGCGATCACAAAACAATCCTCAATGATCCGCCAATTTGAGGGTTATTTTTGGCTGTAACAATCATCCCATGAATTCGGGCATACCCAGATTTACGGCCACAAATTGGGTACAGCATACCTCAATGTCCATGAGTATGATTGATGAATATTAAATTTGGTTTACCAATCAACACCACAAATGTAGGACCAGATCCCCCATTCATCAAATTCAACTTCATCAGCTAAGGACTGCATCCAGCACTCCATGCTCAATGCCTCTGTGGGTCTCACTCGGCTTCTGCAGGTGGGTCACAGCATGGTTTTGGTTTTGGTGGTTCCACCCCAGCTAGGAAGCAGTATATAGCATATGATAGATTATGGTATTGACTAATCCTATTTGGTGTTCACCCCACTAATTAGTAGATATTAGTAGATCATCCTATGAGATATGAGAGGGATATTAGCGGGATATTTATACTAGAATAGTAGATCATATTTATACTCTAACATCTTATGACACCACTGGAAGCTCACCATCTCATAGGATGGACCCAACAGTGGCGACAAGTCCAGGTTCTGGTCGACCTGCTGAAACATCTGAAGGTGGCCATGGGGAACACGGTGCCGCGGCTGCTTATGGCTGTGTCTGAAAATCACCCCAACATAGCCCATAGTTTATCATCATTTTCCCTGTGGTTTATAACTCCAATTTCACTAGGGTTTATAGGTGATATATCTATACTTAATGGGATTATAACCCATTTAGAACTGAAGGGGGCACCACCTTGTATGGTTTATCATCATTCTCCCAGCCATTGTTGAATATTGGAAATGGGCATGCCCCATTTCCAGACACACAAAATGTTCGAAATGGAATTTGTGTGGTTTTTCCCGACTGACACCAGTACCCGTACTATGACTTGCTGGCTTCGTGGATGGCAGTCAGCTGCCTCGATGCGTCTGACCAATGATCTTCTGAAAAGTTCAAATGTTTGGAAACTGTTTCGGTGAAGTTGCAATGGGTTCGCCAAGTTGCAAGTTGGTGAGTGGTGACCCGTCTTTTTGTTTTTTGTTTTTGTTGGTTTCCCCTCGTATATTCACCATTGGCCATTTCTAGTATTGAGGCTGGTGGTGTGATGCCGACAAGAAACTGCCTGTTTGCAAGCCCTGTGGATAATAGGTTAGTAGGTTTTGGTCCCTGCCCATGTCATGTCCAATTATATAATGATATCCCATCGTATCCCTATCATATTTATACATATACATATATATATATTACATATGTGTATATGTATATATATATGTATAAATATATATATCCGCATTATATCCCCAATATATCTCCAATATATCACTATTACACCCCCATTAATACCCTGTAATATCCTTGCACTATGTTGGTACTCCGGGGTAAATCACATCCCATGTCAGATCCCCAACCATGAATCTTACAGATCCCAAAGCCGTCCCATAAAATATCCCTATCGGGGATTTGAGTCCAATTAGATCCCGATCCCATTAGATATCCCCATGAAACATCATTAAAGCATACCAGTAGTACCGCACAAGGCGGTGGCGGAAGTTTCAAAAATAGGACACCTACACAGGAGAGGTGAGTTGTTGTGATGCATGGATGGCAGAGCGAATCCACCGATGGACTGAAAGGTGGTTGGAGTTGTGTTAATTGGAGTGGTTGCAATGGTCAGCTCACCCACAACTGCTGCATGTAGTGTGGTGTGGTGTAGTTGTAGTTGTATTTGCACTCGTACTTGTAGTGAAATTGTAGTGAAGTTGAAGTTGTAGTTGTAGCTGTAGTTCTAGGTGTAGTTGTAGTTGTAGTGTAGTGTAATGGAAGGGTTAGTGTGTAGTTGTAGTGGCAGTTGTAGTTGCAGTTGTAGTTCTAGCTGTCGCTGTAGTGTAATGGAAGTGCTAGTGTGTTAGTGTGTTAGTGTGTTGTAGTAGCAGCAGCAGCAGCAGTAGTAGTACTAGTAGTACTAGTAGTACTAGTAGTACTAGTAGTACTGTAGTACTAGTAGTACTGTAGTACTAGTACTACTACTACTACTACTACTACTACTACTACTACTACTACTCTGCTGCTACTACTACTACTACCACTACTACTACTACTACTACTTGTTGTTGTAGGTAGTTGTAGTAGTAGTTGTAGGTAGTTGCTATTCTGCGAGACTTCCTCAATTTTGAACTTGACAGACGCAGGAGTTCTGCCAGACTTCCTCAATTTTCGAAGTTGACAGCATCCAAAACGAAGCAATTCTGCGAGACTTCCTTCAAAAATGGACAGTTGAGTGCAGAGCTGACGGCCTTGTGCCAATGAGTTTTGCAATTTTTCCAGTCCAGGTCTCTCAAGTATTGCGCGTGCAAAAAGTGATGCCAGGTCATACGAAGTGCTGCACCTGTCACGCAAAATCATCTTAGCAAACCTGAAGATCTGATGCTCCAAAATGCAAACCATTTTGAGAAATCAGCGCCCTGACCGCCTAACATCTCTGATGAACATGTCTCTTGTACTGCGCCTGCCACGCGAAATGCATCTTTCCAGATCCTTCAAATGTCCCACGCCTGCCATCGTTTTTGGAAATGCCACAAAACCCTCACGTTTTGCTCACTTGTGGCAAGGTGCAGAATCCCTTGCGCCTGCCACACGAAACCACATCTGAACCTTCAAAAGTGGTCCGGGCATGTGGTGCTTTTAACATTTTGACTTGGAAATGTGCTTCGCGCCACAACCGCGCGAACTTTTCGACATCTCAACTTCCAAAGGTGCTTCGAAGTTGGTGTGATTTGTACATTTTGACTTCGAAATATGCTTCGCGCCACAGTTGCGTCCACTTTTTCGACGCAACTTCCAAACGTGCTCCGACACTCAAGTGCTATGTACATTTTGACTGGGAAATGTGCTTCGCGCCACAGCGGTGTCCACTTTTTCGACGCAACTTTTGGACTTTGTACATTTTGACTGGGAAATGTGCTTCGCGCCACAGCGGCGTCCACTTTTTCAATGTGTCAACTTCCAAAAGCGTTTCGACACTGAGGTGTTTACGACTTTTGACTTCCACATGCGCTTCGCGCCACAACGGCGTGCCATTTTTGATCTCGCATCTAGCCAGATGGCTCCGCACCCGCCGCTTTAGCGAGCCTACTTTTCGACCTTCCGGAGCCACAAATCATTGGAAAAACAGAGTGTTTCGCGACTTTGCTACCTTTTCCCGCACCTGCATCTTCTTTCTTCTGGCTCTTTCTCTTCTCTGCTCTTCTCTGACTCTTCCCACCTCTGCTGTCCGTATTGTCGGAAGTTTGACTTCTAAACTTCCTTCGATGGAAGCCCCATTTAGGTAGCTGTAGCTTTTGACCCATCCGACATATCAACTGAGGTGCTTCACCAGATAGTCTTCATTGATCTGTCGGACTTCAGTGAGTTCATCACCGCTGTCCAGAGCCTTTGCCACCATTACCTCACCAGAAATGGGTAGAAGTTCCCTCCAGCATTGCTATGACAGTTTACCACAGTCGCATGTGGGTCTAAATTGGAGATATATTCCATGTCTATCCACTTCTGTATGATTAGGCATGTACAGTGGTGACATCGTGCTGGATCTCCAGATATGAAGAGGCTTGACCGTACCAATGAATAAACCTCACAGTTCTGCTCACCTATTCGCCATCAGCATCTTTCAAATCGGCTTTGTTCAGTCGAGTCAGTGGTGCTTCTGGTTCTGAAGTTCAAGTTAAGTTCCTTTTTGAGTTCCCAGCCCCTTCTTGTTTTTTTGAGAAGAAACTGCAGTTTGATATTTTGAATGCTGATGTTGGCCACCCTATTTCTATGCCTATCGTCTGGAAATTTGAAAGTTTTCTATGGAAAATTGCCTTTTATAGATAACAGATAAATGGTTATATACCTTTTACCAATAGTGATTCTCCATAGCTATGTTAGAGGCTATTGTTTGCAAACCGCATTTTGTTTTTAGGTTCGGCATTTGAGTCCTGATTCATTCGCGGATATGTAAATATGTATAAATATGACAGCCGTTTGGTGTACCTGAAGAGAATGAGGGGGCAGGAACCCCTAAAAAAAAATCAAACAAATCTGAAAATAAAATGGGGTCAGACCCCAGCATTTTATTTTGTGGGTGCATGTTTTTTTTGAGGTGCCCAACCCATCAAGTTAACTGACAGAGAAAGCATGATAGCAAAGATGCACAGCTGTGAACGGTCCGATCATTTTGTGAAATGTTCCAGAGATTTGGAATCACTTGGACATTATGGGGCATATGAAACTGAAAATGGGTAATTCGAAAATGGGTTGGCCCCCCTCATTTTCTATTGCCTCCCTTGGCCAACAAAAGACACACGGGCAGCTCACAGCAGCCAATGAGATTTCTTCAGTTTATTTAATTTTATCTATATGTTTTCTGGAAACCATCCAGATGTCAGAATTGGATCCAATTATATTTTTTTGTATGTTGGAGGTTGGATCTTGCCATTTTGGGGGGTTTCCTTCAAAGATGATTAAAACCAATCAAAAAATGCCGGGGCCCGAAGCCCAACAGGTGCCAGGTGGAGGGGGCCTGACGTCATATTTTTTTCGTACCTGTCCATTGTATTTTGTTTGGGTTTCCTATCTTACCTTATGCCCTCTCATTTTATTGGCATTTCGCCCTTAGGCCCCTACATTTTATTTTTTGTTAGGGGTTCCACCCCCCTGGCACCAGACGGTGCTAAATATGTGATATTTTATGATTATATTTACAGTTATAGACTTATAGATCTACATATACTTTATTTATATATATATATGCACATACTCCATTGGCCTGTAGGTAAACATATATATACATAAATGCACTTGTACATGTATAAATATATGTCTCAACATGTAAAACATTAAGTAATTCACATACATATCGACATCACGTTTGAAGTATGATCTACACCTTTCCCCAAAAATGTGTCGGCCAGGAACACCTTCATCTTCCAGACCTGCATCAGTCGCTGCAAGCTGGACGTGCCGGAGCCGAACCAACGGCCCTACGTCACGCTAGAGATGACCAGTAACAACTGGGGCCGCATCAACGAGGCCAAGACGCGGCCGGGGATGGGGACCGGGGATAAGTTTGCCAACTGGAATATGGGGGTTTCCATAAATGGTGGTACCCCAAAATGAATGGTTTATAATGGAAAATCCTGAAAAAGTGGATGACTTAGGGGTACCCCTATTTCAGGAAACCTCCATATCACCATTTTTCAGAGCTAAATCATCAAACATAAATGGTTATGTTCAATAGTTATGTGAAATTACCAGAGGGCAAATACGGTATTTGAGCACCAACGATAGAATTTGACGGGCATATAATGGAGATTTTAAGCAACAAGACTTTGGATTTAATTAATGGGATGCACATTCCCTTCCCTCAGGCGTATTAAGGAAAAACCAAACGAAACCCTGATTGAGTGTTGGATTTTTTATTGCGGGGGTCCAGTGGGGGGGGTCTTTAACATTGGGGTGATGTGAATATGGGAAACATAATTATAACCAAACCTACCAATGATGGGCTGAATCACCCAGCAGAAATGGTTAGAGCCATGGGGAATTTCACCCGCAAAATAAAAGTTATTGGATGTAACGGGGTAACCGCCCAAAAGATAGATGATTAAGATCCGCCCTTATGAACGTGGTTGTTAGTGCGCAATTTCCCCAAACACATAGACCCAAACATTATTTAGGGAACTCGAGGGGTCTGGTGGAATCGAAGCGGATCATCCACTGGCTGGTTGATAGAAGGTTCCCTCCATTCAACGACCAATTGTAATAGGTACATTGTAATAATGATTGACTAAACTGGCCCGACTATTTGTCCTAAAAGGATACTATTGATTACTATGATTACTATTGTTCCATTACTATGATTACTATTGTTCCATCAACTTTGCCCGAGAATATGGTATCCCTGAATCCACTAGTAAATCATTGTTTCGGATGCTTCTCCCAAAAAGGAAAGTCAAAAACCCGCCGTCGCTTTGGACCAGATTTGCCCAAAATCTGATTGGTGGCTGCGTGAAAATTCCAAGGATTCCAAGCCATAGATGTGATGATCCCAGCAACCAGCCATGGTGAGTTGACTGTGAATCCAGCGCCTTTGCTCTCAGGCAGATACAGATCTGATGAGTGTGGACCATCGAGTGAGAGAAGTCCTGGAGAAACAGCAATTTCTGGAAACGATGCTGACCGGCTCCGACAACTCTTGGTGCATCTAAAGCTGGTGGTGTAAACACTGGGACTCTGATCCAAACTTTGACTTTTTGCATGCGTGGTTCAACCACCAACAAGTAAAGTTTCGTGTAAGCCTTGGTGAGGCTTTTTTTGCGGTCAAGGTGCGGGAAACTGCGCAGGAAGTGTTTGATAATTGTGCCCTCCGTTGTCGCATACACTATATTACAGTCGATTATGTCGATTTGGATGAACTCGGAGGGCTGGTTGAATTGATTGTTGATGTTGATTTTGAGAAAGCGGTATCCATGCTACATCCTCTGGCCGCCCATATTTAGACCAAATGTACGACGTTTCACTGCGATGGACCTCGCAGAAATTGTGGGAGCAATCACTCGCACGGTTTCTCAAGAGCCAACCCAGTGATGCTAAACCCATCAATTATATAATTAAGTTGAAACAAAAAGAAAACAAAAGGCTTGGGGAGGTCCCTGATTTGGAGAACGAGTTTGCCTCAGTTGTTTCGCCTCACCCCCAAATCCTTTTTTGGATCCACAACTCAGAGAAACCACCACGACTCAGAGACGCTTTTCGAACCGCCCAGTGCCCAGTGAAACTGGCACCACGGCGCGGGATCACGGGCACTCGCATCCCAAAAATGCCTCAGACAAGGAGTTGGAAACCTGGAAACCATGAAGAAGTTGAAGAATTACGTCAGCCCATCTATGTATTTATTTCATTTTATTTCTGTATCCTTGTGCTTCAGGCTTCAGGGGTGCAGTTTGTTGAATCCAAGGTCAGCATTCCTAAGATTTCCAGAGGACTTCAGCCTTCAACGAAGCTCTCTTTGACTCTGCCCGAAGGTGCCACTGAATCTCAGCAACCATAGCTGGTAAATACACACATAGAAAAATAGATTCACCCGGGATGTAACATGCTTTAACCACTCAATCAAACATATCTAAACATGGTGAGTTAAGTGGACAACATTTATCGGGGTAAACCTTGCTAAAGCCCATGCAAACACTTTCTGCATCCGACACTCCCCAGTTTGGTGTGTTTGGTAGGCATGGGGTTACTGTCCATTTGCAAGTACATTGAGACAATATTCGACAACTACACGGGTAGTAAATATAGCAAGTACACAAAGAAATCACATTTAAACACCTTTAAACACATTAATGTGGGAAAACAATGTCATAAACGACCCATTTGGGACTTGGGACTGGTTTAACCACCTATAAAAATGGTGGTGACTGGGGGATGGTTTCTGACCTTGTTTTACTCACATAGTGATGACAGAAAAACCCAAAAACAGCTCCGGTTTTCATGGGAAACTGGCCATGACGGCGATGCGGAGATCGGAGATCTTTTGCGATGCCACGCTGGAGATTTCTTTGGATCTGTCAGGACCTCAGCGGTTCGGGGCTATGGTTTCTATCTTGGGACCGCACCGCTTGATGTGATTCCATATATATATATGTATATACATAGATAGACAAGTAGATGGATGGATGGATGGATGGATGGAGGGATGGACGGATGGATGGATGGATGGCTGCAAAGATGGCTGAATAGATAAATATACGTGTCACGGCCCCAAAACGGTGATCGCTTCAAGGCTGGGGCGTGGCAGCAGTGGAACCTGATGCCTTGCTGCAGCTTGGAACATTCGGGGGGGAAACTTGCAGGAAACCACTGCACTGGTTCATTGGCCGCTGGTTTCAAACAGGATTTACTTTTTGACTATTTTGGGGATGATGGTTCAAATTGATTACTGTAATATTGAACATTAGTCCTGGGCATTGGGCCAATGGCTCGCCTTTAGCCCTGGCTGAACTCTCGGAGATGGGATCGGACCTCCAAATGCTTTGACCACAGATGGTACCATCCATGGCGAGGGAAAACGAAACGGCATGGAATCGTTTCGGACCCTTGAAATGGCGAGTCAGTTGTGGCTTCCATGGGCACCTCTGATATATATATATATTTTTTTTTGTTTATATATATATATATGTATATATATATACATGTATATATATTTAATACATGTATACATATATATATAATACATGTATATATATATATATGCGTGTGTGTGTGCACATTTATTTATTTATTATATATGTTTTCTATCTATGTGTTCATTTATTTGTGTGTGTGTCTATGAATGTAATATATATATATATATACATGTACATGTAAGGAGAGAGAGAGAGTAAGAAGGAGAGAGCGATTGATTCCAACCAGCTGTTAACTTGGTTTTATTCAAACTTCAGCTCTTTCATTCGCATGTGTTGCCGGTTGGATAGATATGTTAAACTCGTTTATTTCTTGGTGACGTTTGGTGACACCATGTTGCTAGGTGGTTAAATATGATCAAATGCACTTTGCTTGCTGCTTCAACCTTCTGTTTTGCTGTGTAATTTCCCATGTTTGGTGTACAAAACATTTGTTTGGCGGCGTGAATCCAGATGATTGCAAAATCCCCTGTTTTCTGCTTCAACTTGAATCCACATGTTTCTTTGCTTACATCTGACATGTTGTTTGGATCCAGACGGCCTTGCTGTTCGAGGCAGATTTTGCTGGACGATGCGGCCGAAAAGGTGAAGCAACAGGTCTTCAGAGCTGGGGATGGTTTGAATCCCATAAAAATGTTGTGACGTTTTTTGTTGGCAGGGGTTAGGGCATTGGGTTTATCACACTCATGGGATTTCTAGCATGGATTATATGCAGGATATATATACATATATAATAGCCATATGTTTATGTATAAAGCATTGCACCAAAAAAGGAATTATAGAAAAGTAGTTTGCACAAACTGCTCAGGAGGAATTATAAATTTTTATTGCTCTGTTTGTTCCAGATGATAAAACGTGCTCATGAACGGGGGGTGTGGATATGATGAGGGGGAATCGGCCCATAGGCTTCCAATCTTATACGTCCTCACTGTATCAGCGATGTAAAACGGGATTAATCATCTCCAGTTTTACCAGAAATGGGTGGTATCAATCATCCCCCATTGGTTCATTTTTGGGCTGACAAGTGTGCCACATCAACTAGTATGTTGCTACAAAAGGGGACAAAATATCACTAGCTATATGTTGTGTGCATGGTATCCAAGATTAGCCATAGTAAAATGATTGGACTATAGCTGATATGACTTGATATGACCAAGAAAACCAGGAGAATCAACAAAAATGATGGTTTCAGCCAGCTTGGTGCAGAATTACAGCTCAGCCCTACAGAGACTGGGTGCGTACCAAGAAGATAAAGAGAATAAACCAGCAATCAGCACCTGGCTGGTGTTGTGGGATGATGATCCCAAGAAAACCACCCCCAAATTCGGATCGTTTCGGATTCTGGCAGGTTCAGAATGTGCCAGCATACACCAGGCGCTTGGAACATCAAAATTTCCCCAAACGGCCAGATATGGAAGTAATTTACCTACTCAAAATTCATGGCCCCATGGCCGGCCACTCTGCGCAACTTGACAGATGTTATGTTCTTTTGCCGCAAAACCATGGTTTTTCCATAGTTTTCTTCATTGTTTTCTTCAGAAGAAACCCTTGGTATTCCATTGTAATGCAACCTTGCCATTGCAGTGGAGTAAAACCGATGCTCTATCATTGCTTCCCAAAAAAAACTGCCATTTGATCATATTCCCCATTTTCAGAGACGCCCAAATGGTCTTTACTTACCATCAAATATTGGAGTAAACCCTGCAAGTGGTAAGGCTATGGGCTATAGTGTAGATATCCCAGTATATCCCATCAATATCCCCATTTATTTGTATTCCCATACTTGTTGGTGACATTCCCTGTTAATTATATTCCCAACATGTGATGTTTAAATTCGATTTCTCTCTTCTCCCCCCTCCCCTTCTCTACCCCCATTTTTTTGGACAGCTTCCATGAACTTCTATGTTGTTTGTCGCTTTGTCTAAACATTTGCTATCCCTAAATCCACTATATAGTTAATCATCATTGTCCCTATTCATATGGCTAAGAATTGAGAGTATACCACTTTCAGATATCCCATTAATTATCCCATGAATATCTCTACGTCTGATGGTAACATCTCTATTTTTTCAAAGAAAAAAGTAATTTCATGTTTTGGATGGTAGTGCTCCATCAACTGTGCAAATAGAAGACGGCAGTCTTAAACAAGGCAAGGAACTAAAAATCCCTATGTTTCTCCAACTTCCATCACTTTGGGAGTCTCTAAAGCGCTCCAGTAGGGTGGCACCCAGTTCCAAGGTGCCCCGACGCGATCGCTTCGCAACGCTGCAGCACTTGGACTGCGAGGGGCTGGGCTTCGATGATCGCTGGAGGCTGCTGCGCGGCTCCGGCAAAAGCTGTGGGAGAAGTGATGGGAATGGTGTGTTACCCTTCAAACAATGGGGATTTAACTATGAAAAAGTAGTCTGTTTTAACTATCAAAGATTGTTTTAACATGTTTTAGCCATCAAGCACGGTGATTTCATCAACTAATGTATATATCCCCATGTAGGAAAAAACGCATATTCGCCAGTAGTAAACTACACTAAACTATCACTAGTAGTAACAAAATTGAATTACCCCCAGTAAATAATAGACCGCCCATATTTTGATGATTAAGGATGGTGGATCTTATTGCTTTACTAGCATTATACTTAGTCATTGTATCCCCTTTTAATTACCCAAATTTCGGGAAGTTTGATGGTTTATTAGGCAGTCCTCAGAATCACTACTAAGTGTTAAACCATCAAATCTAGGAACTTACAAGGGATCTAACCCAGAATGAGGGGATAAAATGGGATAGGGGATATATATATATAATTATATATAATGCAAAAAATGTGGACAATGGTTTCACCAAAGAATGATGGATTTAGGGGATAACAACTGGGGATATCATGGGAATATACCAGTGGTCCCGAAGATATAAATTGGCAATAAATCAAATATATCCCTGGGTATGCAATGCTCAATGGCGACATACATGGGGATAGAATGTCCGACTAACAGTTTGACCCCAAGAATCCATTCGAGTTGGGTAGTTTCATAGGTGGTTTTGACATGTGTTTACCATTTTGACGGGGGGATGGGTTCTAAAGTGTTTGGCAAATTTGATAGTCAATGTGTTCCGCAAATGTGATGAGGATATGTGTGTATAATATGTTCACGCAGGCCAAGAATTGTTTTTGGCAGGGCATCTAAGAGCAATGGAATCA